CTATATATTTACTAGTTTGTATCTGCTTGTGCCATTAATAATTGGAACAACAAAGAGGTATATGTTAACCTCTTATTTTGATGGTTGATTTTTAAATTTCTTTCTTATTCCTTTGTATATTTAGTGATGTTTTGTTAGTGCATGCATGTTTATTATCTCTATGTAGTGATCTTATCTATCCTTTATAATGCTTTTATTGTCTTTTTTACTTATAGATATTAATATAGCTACCTCAGTTTTCTTTTGGCTAGCATTTACCTGGTATATGTTTTCCCATCTTTTTACTTTCAATTTTCCCTTCAATTTATGTTTTAGATGTGTCTCTCATAAATGGCATGTAAGTGGATTCTTTCTTTTATCCAGTCTGTTAATCCCTGTATTTCAAAGGTAAATTTTGCTCATATATGAATTTCATATTCATTGATATACTTGAGCTCGTTTTTACCATTTGTTTTCTCTTTGTCTCAGTTTTTTCTGCACTTACTTTTTCTTCTTGCCTTTTAATTTTTGTTCCTAATTTGTTTTCTTCTCCTCATTACTGATTCTGCAAGATCCCATTGCAAGCAAGCTGGCTGTTAACAGGGTTAGTATTGGAAACAATAGCAACCTATGGTGGAAGGTGGGAATCGGGGTGGAATATTACTTTTCTGAAAGGAGTCAGATTGGCAAGTGATGGGGATGAGGTGGCAGGGAGCTGATAGAGTACATGGGTAATGGTCTTACAAAAATCTTTCTATGAGTATGAGACAAGCATGTCTGATGGGACTGGAGGGAAAGGAAGTAGGAGTGTGAGATGAATGAAGGCTTAAATAGAACCCAAAGGGACTAGGTAAAGGAATTGAACAAGTATAAGTAACAGGATTTATAGGTGACAGTGAGGGTTCAGCTGAGGTTATAGACCAGGAATTATGTAGCACCTGGGCATGGGAGCAGACAAAGCAGGCTATAGCATTAGCACAGGTTTGGGATTTTCATGGGCAGTTGTGGCAGAAGGATGAAGGTTTATGGATGTAGAAAGTACTGGTGAGAGTGGTTCAAATGTTAAGCCATCTGGAGACCAGGATGGGTATGGAAGGAAGATAGATCAGCAGGAGGCAAGTGAACCAAGAGAAAATGTGGGGCACAAGAGATTATGGTCTTAATAAGGTTGAAGAACAGATACAGCAGGAGTAAGCTATGGTAGGAAAGTGGGAATTCTTGAATTTGAGATTTCAGAGGGGACAGTTCTGGTTGGTCAGGTCCATAAATGAAAAAGAAAGGGAAGATGTACAATGTTAGTAGTTCCATTTTCTTAAGGTACTATCTTTGTTTCCTCAAGGATCTTCTTACTTCCCTGGATTTTGATATTACTTGGTCTCATTATTATGCCAACGTGCCTTTCTTATCACAATATTCTGCTGCCTCTCCACAAGCACTAGATTTCTCATCTGGTATTGTTCTCATTTCTAGTATACCTGTGCTAGCCTTGGTTTTGACAGGTAACTGATAATACCTCTTTTATTCAGGAGCCACTGATTTTTTGCCCAGTGTTTCAGCCATAATCACACATATGGGAATTCATTTCTACAATGCTTTTGATTTGTCTGTTTAGTATTTTATAATTGCCTTGGTTAAAATTCTGCCTGGACTGAACCAGTAGAGCACCAACTCCAGTATCAGATTGCCTGGGCTTGAATCCCTGCAATTTCATTTACTTGCCCTTTATTCTTGGGCAAGTTAGCCTAACCTCTCCTGAATTCTCACCTATACAATGGGGGTAATAATAGTCACTCACTCTTGGTGTTGTGGCAAGGATTAAATTAGTTAATATATGTAAGGTACTTGTTTGGCATATAGTCAATTCTCGTTAAAGGATACTGCTGGGGGTGATAATGATAGTGATCAGCAATATTGGCAGCATATGCAAAACTACGTACCAGATACTGCATTAAGTGATAGGACAGGTACAGAGGAGAATATTGAAAAAGTCTTTGTTTTCTTTTCTTTTCTTTTTTTTTTTGGAGATGGAGTCTAGCTCTGTCACCAGGCTGAAGTGCAGTGGCATGATCTCAGCTCATTGCAACCTCCATTTCCCGGGTTCAAGCAATTCCCTTGCCTCAGTCTCCCGAGTAGCTGGGACTACAGGTGCGTGCCACCACACCCAGCTAATTTTTGTATTTTAGTAGAGACTGAGTTTCACCATGGCCAGGATGGTCTCGATCTCCTGACCTTGTGTTTTGCCCACCTCAGCTTCCCAAAGTGCTGGGATTACAGGTGTGAGCCACCACACCTGGCTGAAAACGTCTTTGTTTTCATGGAGAATATATATTCTCCTTGGGGATAAGAACTAAGAAGACTTCCCCAAGACTATCTAAGAAAGGGTATGTGAAAGAGGCTTAACATCTTATAATTCAATAAAGACCAGGAAGTATAAAAGTTGAGGAAATATTGAGGTTTCAGGAACCTGTATAGATTTGCCACGTTTATGTTTTCTCCTGTCTTGTAGGCAATTAGTAAAGAAAAAATAAAAAGAAAAATAAAAAAATGAAAGGGGCTTGCTGTCTAGTTTCAAAGGAGAGCGGAAAAATTTTTGCCTTAGTTCCAAACCTGTTTCTTTCCTTATATCTCCTATTGCTATGAGGGCTGTCACTAGCCAGTCAGTTGTTTAATGTGAAGTAGCCATCTTTGACTTTACCTTCTTCATCTTCTCTACTCAGTCAGTCTATTCTGTCAATTCTACTTCTCAAACCTATTCTGTTTTTTCTTGCTGCCTGGCTCAAGCCTTTATCATTTTAGCAGATTCAGCAAGTATTTGTACTGCAAACATTGTGATTGGCCCTTTAATACACATTATTTAATTTTCTTAGCAACATTTGAGGTGGGTCATTTTGTAGATGAGAAACCAAAGGATCAGCTATAAAATGATTTGTTCTGCTGGGCATGGTGGCTCTGTCTATAGTTCCAGCTACTTGGAAGACTGAAGCAGGAGGATTGCTTGAGCCCAGGAATTTGAGTCCAGACTGGGCAACATAGTGAAACTCTGTCTCTAAAAATGAAAAATAAAATGACTGGTATAATTGTTTAGAGGCATAGTTATTAAATCTATGCTGTCTTCTGCTGGAGTATTGTAATAATTTCTCTGCCTCATTTGCATTGTTCTCTTTTTTGAGATATAAATGGAAGATATATGTAAAAACAAATTAGAACTATATAAAGTAAAAAGTGAAAGTTGCCCCTTCCCAAATCTACTTTCCAAGAGAAACCAATGATAGTGGCTTTTGTTCTAGACTTTTCTCTTTGTATATCCAAATATTCCGATAAATAATTTATGATGAATCATTTGTTATTGTCCTACAACTACTTTTTCACTCATACTTTTTATGTCAATACGTATGTATCTATCACATTTTTAATGGCAACATATGTTTTATTATGCAGACATATTATTTGGATTATATTGTTCAATGATTCCTCTGTTAATTGTTTCTGTTCTTATAAATAATGTTACAGTAACATTCTTGTGCATATACTTTTGTGCATTTGTGTGAATATTTCTATTAAGTAGATTCTTAGAAGTCATATTGCTTGGTTAAGTAGTATGCCTATTTTAAAATGTATGTACTACTAAATTGTCCTCTGATTTGTCCTCTAGATCAGTCTTTTATATTATAGCTAGAGTGATATAGCCATAATATGTCTTTGTAAAATGAATTTCATAATGTGATTTCCCAGCATCAAAAAGCAACATCAGAGATGTTTGATGGATTTCTATTGTCTATGCAATAAATTTTAAAATTAATTTTTTTTCAGACAGGGTCTTTCTCTGTTGCCCAGGCTAGAGTGGGCCACACGTGATGGCATGATGGTGGCTCACTGTAGCCTCAATCTCACAGGCTCAAACAATCCTCCGACTTCAGCCTCCTGAGTAGCTGGGAATACAGACATGTACTATCACACCCAGCTAAGGTTTGATTTTTGTTTTTTGTAGAGACTCAGTCTCCCTGTGTTGCCCAGGCTGGTCTGGAACTCCTGGGCTCAAGCAATCCTCCTGCCTGGGACTCCCAAAGTTCTGGGATTACAGGTGAGAGCCTCCATCATGAGCCAAAATTCTTAAATTTTTGAAAAAGTTTTTAAGAGTTATATAATGTGGTCCTAAACTATCTTTCCTACCATTCTTCCCTACCAGGAAATTTGTCCTCTGATAAGGCAAAATCCAACTCTTCTGTAAAAATTTCCCATGTATACTGCTCTCTTTCTTCTCTCTATACAAGATAGAATGAGTTACTTCCTTCCCTAAGTTCTCATAGCACTTAATTTATAATCCCTCTGATAGCATTTAGTGCGTCATATTAAATTTATGTATGTCTGTCTCCCCTGCTACTCTGTGAATTTCTTAAGGGCAGGAACTGTGTCTTATTCATCTCTGTATCCCCAGCACTTTACACAATGCGTGTCAGAGTAGTGCTCAACAAACGTTCACGAATTTGGGAAAGATATCCTGGAGGCAGTCTGCTAGTACGATGAGAACTTTGAGAGATAGAGTAGGTGGTAGAAGTTTTGAAGCATAGCAGAAAGCTGACTGACTTCTGGGAGAACTGGGCCTAAAGTGGCAGGAGCCTTCATGTGCTCCTTCACTGCAGAGACCAGCTGCCTGGTTATTTGGGTTAATAGGCTTAAGATTTGAGAACATTTAAAGTATTAAAAATTGGATGATCGAGGACTCACTTGGTGGAGGGGGAGATTGACTCAGCTGTTTATGTTCTTTCCAGACTAAGATGCGTATACTGAATAACCAATCCTTTTCCCAGAATCATGAATAACTTTTTCTTTCTGAAAAATCAAAGGCTCTTCATTTTCAGACCATGATTTGGATGGGAGTAGGAAGAGTAAAGAGGTCAGATACTTTTACTTTGTCTTTTTTGCTTGGCTCAAGGGCGAAGTAGCCTATTGAAAAGTTTTAGGGCTGTGGACATATTCTTGAGTCAATCATCTGTGTTAAATTAGTTCTTTTGTCATTTCAGGCAACTCTGGTAGCTCTCCTTTTCTAGTTGCCTTGAAGAAAGAAGAGTAGAAGAAAAAGTTGAACAAATCATGTCGGAGTTACTGGACCTTTCTTTTCTGTCTGAGGAGGAAAAGAATGTGATTCTCAATGTTCTACAGCGAGATGAGGAGGTCCAAAAAGCAGATGAGAAAAGGATTAGGTAAGAATTCCTCAAAACGCTTAGGGTCCCAGGCCTTCGGCCGATAATATCTGGGCTTTTCCTTATGTCTCACACCTGACTTTCATAGGAATTTGTATATGGGATGTTTACCACTACTTATTGGGTCATGTTGGGCTCTAAGTTTGTTGCTTTCACAGAACCAAACAGTCTACTGTTTTTACCTCTCAACCCTTCTCCATCCAATCTATGTATATCCTGAATCCACTTGTGCTTCTCTTTTGGGTCTTGACAGGCGACTAAAGAATGAGTTACTGGAGATGAAAAGGAAAGGGGCCAAGAGGGGCAGCCAACACTACAGTGATCGGACCTGTGCCCGGTGCCAGGAGAGCCTGGGCCGTTTGAGTCCCAAAACCAATACTTGTCGGGGTTGTAATCACCTGGTGTGTCAGGACTGCCGCATACAAGAAAGCAATGGTACCTGGAGGTGCAAGGTGTGCACCAAGGAAATGTGAGTGTCTCCTATGGCTGAGTAGAGAGGAGATGAGGCCATGGCTGTAATGAGAATTTCTTTCCTTAGCCTTTATTAGATAAGAACCATTCTTTATCCATCTGTTATTTTCTTTTATTTCTTCCCAGAGAGTTGAAGAAAGCAACTGGGGAGTGGTTTTATGACCAGACAGTGAATCGCTTTGGTTCTCGCACAGGTAGTGAGATAATCAGGATGTCCCTGCGCTACAAACCCGCAGGTACTGGACCTGTCTAGAGATAGTTCTTGATATGGAATCTTAGTGTGTTCTGACTGGTTATCTTAACTCCATGGGCTCAGCCAGTTTGTGGGGAATGGAAGATGATACTGTCATCCCTTCTGCAAGCATGGTGTATTTCAGGGGATTTGCTATGAGAGTTGTTTCATTTTTCCCTTACTCATAACCACAACCCTGGCCTACTTTTGTTTGTCTTGAAGTGAGTAAAAGAGAGACAGTGCAACAATCCCACCATCAGGTACAGATTGGTGACATCTGGCCGGGAAGAAAGATCATTCAGGAGCAGCAGAGGGACCCCAGGTAAGAATCAAGTAATTGTTTAAAGAAATACTTACAATAATCTCTTTAATTCTTTTGCTATTCATTTTACTTTCTCCTGTTTATAACATAATAGATGTTCATTGTAGGAAAACTTAGAAAGTACAGAAAATAGTAAAGAAGGAGGTAAAAAAATCATTCCTAATCCCATTGCTTGTATGTAGACATTAACATTTTGGTATATTTACTTTGTTTTTGTATATTTTGCACTCAGCTTTCTCAGGTTGAATAGTTTGTTCTTTATAAGAACAATTTGAAGACAAATAGAAATAACACATACTCATTATTAAGCAACAAATCACCCACATTCCTACTACCCCAGTTTTCACATTATGTGAAAATTATTTCATATATCTTCTATGCATATCCATAATGGGTTGACTAGATGGATAAACTGAAAAATCTTTTTAATATTGGGATCATAGTATATAATAAATTAAAATCATCCTGTTTAATTTTACTTGAATTTAACAGAATAAAAGATTAAATAAAATGAAAGAATAGCTAATCTTCAGACAATTTTTTTTAATGTAAAAGGTATTAGCTGTTAACATTCCTCTAAGCTTAAGAAAAAATATTATGAAAGCCATTGAGCAGTTGGTCACTTTTTTAGTGGGTTTTTTTGGTTAACAGCCTTATTGAGATATAATTCACATACTATACAATTTGCCTATTTTTGATGTACAATGCAATAGCTTTTAGCATATTCACTGAGTTGCATGACCATCCCCTGAATCAACCTTAGAAAATTTTCATCATCTCAGAAAGAAACCCTTTACCCTTTTAGCTGTCACCCTCCCCCATCCCTAAGCAATCACTGATCTCCTTTCTGTCTCTATATATTTGTCTATCCTGGGTATTTCATGTAAAGGACCATATATTTGGGTTCAATATATGGTCCGTTTTGACTGGCCTCTTTCACTTAACATAACGTTTTCAAGGTTCATCCATGTTGCAGCATGTATCAGAACTTCATTCATTTTTATAGCCAAATAATACCCCATGATATGTATTTATCACATTTTGTTTATCTGTTCATCTGTTGAGGAGCATTTGGGTTGTTTCCACATTTTGGTTAGAAAGAGCAATGCTTCTACGAACATTTATTAAGTGTTTTTTGTGGATGTATGTTTTGTTTTGTTTGCTTTTCTTTTCAAAATGGAGTTTTGCTCTTGTTGCCCAGGCTGGAGTGCAGTGGTGCCATCTTGGCTCACTGCAACCTCCACCTCCTGGCTTCAAGCAATTCTCCTGCCTCTGCCTCTCAAGTAGCTGGGATTACAGGCACATGCCACCAAGCCCAGCTAATTTTTGTATTTTTAGTAGAGATGGGGTTTCACTATTTTGGCCAGGCTGGTCCTGAACTCCTGACTTCAAGTGATTTGCTCACCTTGGTCTCCTAAAATGTTGGGATTACAGGCATGAGCCACCACACCTGGCCTGTTTTCATTTTTCTTTTCTTTTTTTCTGTTTTTATTTTCTAAGGTAGATACTTAGGAGAGGAGTTAGTGGTCATTTAAAAATCTACCTGTTTCAATATTTAACGTTGTTAGTGGATGCTTTGCTGTGAAAGAGGAAGCAGTTAGCTTTCTTACACGTCCCCCCACGTATTTCCTTCTATCTTCCCTATTTGGTTACTCAAATTATTTTTCCTTTGTCAGGGTTTATAATATTTACATTCTCTTATATACCCATAAAGCATCTGCTTGTTTTATCTGTTTACTTTTAGTTTTATACTTAAAAGGACTGTATGCTTACAACCAGGCCTTATACCATAACTTCTTTATTTCTGATTTATTTCTTGGTTGTCTGGATTTCGTCATTGAGGAGTTCCTTCAAGAAGAGTTTGCAGGTGCTATATTTATTATATTCTTATATGTTAAGAATGTCTGCCAGGTGCCTTTATACTTCAGTGGTATCTTGGCTGGATATATTCTCGGGCCACATTTTCTTTCCCTCAGAATGTTGTGGAGATTATTCCATTGTCTTCTTCCATTGAATGTAACCGTGAAGAAGTCTGAGCACACCTTCACTCTTGTTTTTCTTTCCTATGTATGAGAGACAGAAAGAGAAATTAAACTTACCTGAAAATTTTCTTTTCTTTTTCTTGAAGTTTAGTAACTTAACAAGGTTATAATTCAATGGTGATCATTCTGTATCATTTTCCCCTATATGCAATATACCCTTGATGAGTTCTTCCTTCATTGCTGGGAAATTTTTCTGTGTCATATCCCTGAACTCTTTTGCTTTCTGTTTTATTAGTTAAGTTCTCTACCTCAGAGACACTGGGTTTTCTTATCCTCTATTTTTGTCATTTTATTTTACTATTGAATGCAATAGGAAAAATGGTGAAAGCAATTAACCATGATTAGCCCAACCCATTCCTCCATGCTATTAATTTGGTTTTCAGTTTATTTTCCCTCCCCTCCCCTTTTTCTCCTCCCTTCCTTACTTTTTGCTGCTTCTAATTTATTTATTTGAATGAATTATCTTATTTAGGTTGCAATTTGTTCTTTGCTCCAATCTTCTTTCTCTTATTTTGTTGTTTTATCATCTTGTATTTGAATTCTTGCACTTCACTGAATTTATGTTATTAGTTCCCCTGTAGTGTAAAGCACTCACAAGAAACCTACTTGTTTTCCTAGGGTTAAATTCTTCTCCAGACTCGGTTCTTTGTCCATCTTGCAAATTGTTTTCTCTTCTCTCCACTCCGTGGCTATTTATGTATGTGCTAGACTATTTTATTTCATTTTGTTCAACTTTAATATGGGAAGTTTTGTCTATATCTTTTGTTTCCTCTGATACAGTATATGTGAATTCTTCTTCTCACCTCAGCTTGAAACAATTTATCTTTTCCCCATTCTTAGCTATACTTTAAGGACTGAATATTGCTTTCTGTATTTCTTTTCTTGAAACCTGAGGGGGTGGGTGCAAAAGGCAACTTGGGGTCCTGGGTTTTGGTCTCTTGAAATTCTCTTAAATGTCTTGGTTCAGGGCTTATTTATCCCAGATCTGGGTTAATCCCCTAGCTTATACAGGTGCCCTGGGATATGACATTTTCCAGTACTCTTAACTGTCTCTGTTGGGGTTCTACAGTGGTACCTGGGGATACAAATCTTGAGGACTTCTGTTTTTCTTGACTACTCATTCGCTTAATCTGCAAATTGCCACATTTGAAGGGATTAGTTCAAGAGCTTTGCCAAATACATTTTCTATTTTCTTAGACATGAATTTTTGAAGTCTAGCACTGTGAGGCTTTATTTTTGAACCATTCGTTTACAGCGGCTAATTTTTGGCTTTTGTATGGTGTGTGTTGTTTTTCCCTAACTTTCACTCACCCAAGGGGAAATGACTTTATCACATTTTATTTGATTGTTGAAAAATAATACAGAAATGTACAAGTAAGTCCTCCAGTAACCTCACTGCTTCTTCCCTAGATAATTATCGTTAATAGTTGTGAATGGTTTTGGCATATGGACTACCAAACTGTCTAAATATACATATGTGGGTTGGGTTCCTAAGTTTTAATTTTTTTTTTTAAGGATGATACTATATACATGTTAAGTGAAAAAGTGAAAGAAAAAGAACTTTAAAAACTCAATAATACAGACAATCCCATAGAAAATGCACAAAAGACATTTCACCAAAGACAATATAGATATGTCAGGCACACGACAAGATGCTCAACATCTTCAGTCATTAAATAAATTTGAACTAAAAATCACAATAAGATGCTACTACATACCCACTAGACTAAAATTAAAAAGGCTGACCATGCCAATTGTTGGCGAGGATGTAAAACAACTGGATTAAAAAAATTCTTTTCTACATTTCTTTCTTGCTATTATAAACGACTGGAATTCTTATACATTGCTGGTGGGATTGTACAATGGCATGGTTACTTTGTAAAGCTGTTTAGCAGTATATTAAAAAGTTCATTGTACACCTACCTTGTGATTAAGTCATTTCATTTCTGGGTATTTACTCAAGAGAAGGGAAAGCATATGTTTATACAAAGACTCATATGTGAATGTTCATAGCAGCTTTGTTTGTAATAGCCCAACCCTGGAAATAACCCAAATGTCCATCAGCAGGTGAATGGATATACTGATTTGTTTATATGATGGAATACTACTCAGCAATGGAAAGAAATGAACTATTGATACATGCAGCAGCATGGATCAATAATCAAAATAATCATGCTGAGTGAAAGAAGCCGAGCAATAAAGAGTGCATACTGTATAGTTCTGTTTATATAAAACTCTAGAAAATACAAACTAGAAAGCAGTGACAGAAAGCAGATCAACACTTACAGGAAGGGCAGGAGGGATTAGAAAGGGGCAGGAGGAAACCTTTGGGAGTGATAGATGTGTTCATTAACTTAATTATGGTGACCGTTTTACAGATGTCTACATATGGCGAAATGTCAGGTTGCACACTTAAACATGTGCAGCTTATTTATGTCAATTATTACTCTAAGTGTAAAAGAAAAAAATTGTAGAACATCTTTCTGTGTCAGCACCAAGGGTCTGTTTTATTTTTTCGACATCTGTATGGTATTTCATGGTATATGTGTACTGTGATTTTTATCTACATAGCCTTGGGTGGGTGACTCATCTGTTCCAGGTGATGAGGCCCCCTTTTTTCTTTGTTGGTTAAGGATAAGAATGGCTTTTATTTGCTGAACCTGATTAACACATCTGACATCATCAGTCAGAATGTAATTTCTGAAACCTACTGCTGCTGGTTGTCTGTGATCTCTTGTCTCATTGGACCCAGAACACTCTTATTTATCCTAAATATGAAAATAGATTAAGTGACCATAAATGATCTTTCCCATGAAATTATGGAGCCTCAGAGATAATTTAATTCAACCCCCTTATTTTTGCGAAAAGAAAGCAGGATAAGTGATTTACCTGAGATCATACAGATAGTTAAGAGCCCAGGGCTCCCATCTCTTAATCTATTTTTTACTACACAGATGTCAAATAATTGCCTTTTTGCCCTTGGGCTGTTTGTATTAGCTCTGGATTGGTATATATTAATCTTTAGGAAAAAAATACAAGCAAAAACCACTCTCCATGGGCCATCATTAAAATTACCCCTCTGGAGGAATGGTTCTGCTTGGGTTTTTTGGCAGGGATATGGGGAAGAAAAGGGGGAAAAGGACGATTCTGAATTTAAAAAATGAAATCAAGCCCCCTGCTATGTCTTGTACTATACAGCTAATATATCTTTCAAGGAATGACTAACATTTCACCTCTTGCAAGTCCTAGATTTCAACCCTGGTGTCTGTTTTCACAGAACTGTCACAAACGTCATGTGACAACTTGGGGAGTTTATTCTTTACTAGATTTTGGTTACCTCATTCTTTGTTCATCTATTAGTTTGTTTGATTGACAAATGTCTATGAATGCCTACTATTTGCCAGGCATTGTTTTACGACCTGGGATACACTGCTGAATACAAAAAGGCCTGTTTATGGGGCTTAAATTTGGAGGGTGGAGATAAACAGATAATCAAGTAAATGTATGGTATATCAGATGTTAACAAGTGCTGTGGATAAAATGAAGTAGGCCAAAGGTATAGGGAGTGCCAGGAATGAATGTGTGTACATATACTATTTTCATTAGGATAGCCAGGGCAAGTCTTAATAACAAGGTAACATTTGGGCAAAGACATGAAGCAAATAAGGAAGCAAACCCTTAGGGTATCTCAGGGAAGAGCATGTAGATAGAGAAAGCAGGAGGTATAAAAACCCTTGGATAAGTTTTTGTTTGGCACCTTTGAGTGATCTGAAACTGAGTGAGCAAGGGAGGCCATGGAAGGAGATGCGGACAGAGATGGGGTGAGAGGCAGATCATGTTAAGACTTTGGTGGCACTTGTAAGCATTCTCTCTTTTACTCCAAGTAAGAAGGATGGCTCTGAGGGACACAGCCTTATATTGTCTTCTTATGAAAAATGGAGGTAAAATTCATACAACATAAAATCATCATTTTAACCACTTTAAAAATATAAAATTCTGTGGTCGTTAGTACTTTGAGAACATTGTGCAATCATCACCACGATCTAATTTCAGAACATTTTCACCACCCCAAATAGAAACCCCATAGCCATTAAGTAATCACCTCTATTTACCCCAACCCCTAATCTATTTTCTGTCTTGATGGATTTGCCTAATCTAGACATTGCCTATAAATTCAGTCATGCAATATGTGGCCTTTTGTGGCTGGCTTCTTTCAAGTAGCATAATGATTTCAAAGTTCATCCATGTTGTAGCATGTAACTGAATTTCATTTTATCGATGAATAATCCATTGTATGAATATGCCACATTTGTTTGTCTAGTCGTGCATTGATGGACATTTAGGATGTTTCCACCTTTTGGCTATTATGAATAATGCTGCTATGAACACTTATGTAACATTTTTGTGTGGACATTTATTGTTCAGTTCTGTTGTGTAGGTACTCAGGAGTGGAATTGCTGGGTCATATAATAGTTCTATGTCTGATTTATATTTTAAAAGCTCATTATGGCTGTTGTGTTCTGGAGATTGTATAGGTACAAGGGAAGAAGCAGGATTAGTTAGGAGGCTACTACAACCATCCCGGAGCTAGATGATGGTGGTTTGGACCAGAGTAATGGCAGTGGAGGCAGTGAGAATGGATCAGAGTCTAGGTATATGTTGAAGGGGATTTACTGACAGATTTGATTTCTATCATGAGAAAAGGAGTAATGGATGATTCTTAACGTTTTTGACTTGAGATATGAAAGGAGAAATTTGCCATTTGATGAGACAGAGCAAAGAACAGCTTTCGAGGAGGGTTGGGGCTTTGGTTTTGGGTTTGCTGTGTTTGAGACATCTAAGTGGAGACATTGAGTAGGCCATTGGAAAAACAAGTCTGGAGTTTGAGTAAGAGAAAATTTGAGGCTGGGCACGGTGGCCCACGCCTGTAATCCCAGCACTTTGGGAGGCTGAGGCTGGTGGATCACCTGAGGTCAAGAGTTCAAGACCAGCCTGGCCAACATGGTGAAACACTGTCTCTAGTAAAAATACAAAAATTAGCTGGGTGTGGTGGCACAAGCCTGTAATCCCCGCTACTCAAAAGACTGAGGCAGGAGAATCGCTTGAATTCAGGAGATGGAGGTGGCAGTGAGTCAAGACTGTACCACTGCACTCCAGCCTGGGTGTCAGAGACTCCATCTTAAAAAACATAAAAAATAAGTAAAAATAAATAAAACTGAGTTATTCATTTATCGAGGATATTTAAAGCCATGAGACTAGATGAGATCATTTAGGGATAATTCTAAATAGAGAGGAGGAGCAGCCCGAGGAAGAAGTTTGGACACAATCTAAATATTAGAGGTCTACAGGAGGAGGAGACTGAGAAGCAGCAGCCAGGGAGGTTGGAGGAGGAAACCAGGAGAGTGTGGTGTCCTGGGAGCCAGGGGAAGTTATTTGAGATATTCGAGGAAGAATGGATTTTTTTTCCCCTTTACCTACTTCTCTCACTAATTCTTTGAGGTAAGGGGCCCAGGAACGGTGTCCTTTCCTTGAAAGATGAGAACTGCTGTTTTGAATTCCTAGAGTCATCCTTCATGAAGGCAATTAGGCTAAAAAAGAATTCTGGTCACTTGAATACTGTCTTCTAGACATACTGCTTATTTATGGTTGTATCTCAGTCCCATTGAGGGCATTTATTCAAGAATTCAGTCAATAAAAATACTTGGGTACATACTCTATGCTAGTCTGTCTTCAAGGCATTGGGAACACATCAGTAAATAAGATATGTGGTCACTGATCTTATGGAACTTGGTCGAATGGAGGAAAAAGACATTAATTTGTTTAAATCATTGAACAAATTAAATAATTTGTTTAAAAGACATAAATAGTTACATATGTGGTGACTGTTGCTAAGAAATCAGGATGCTGTGGGAGCACAGAGGAAGCTTACTAATCCAGACTTAGGGTAGGGGCGTGGCCTGAGAGACATGGAGGAATTGACATATAAGGAGAGTTCTGAAAGAGTAGATTTAGCCAGGTGAAGAAAAGTGGCCATTGTCAAAAGAACATCCTAGGCAGGTAAAAGAGGGAAGATGGAGAGCTTCAGGATATTCAGAGAACCAAAATAACTTCATCTTTCTAAAATATAAAGTTTGAGGAGGAGTGGGGGTGAAAGATGAGGGTGGAGAAGGGTGGCAGGGGCCAAATAATATGGATATTCTTGCTATGCTAAGGGGTTTTAGCTAAATCCCAACAGCAATGGAAAACCACTGAAAAGTTTTAAAAGTATACTGAGGCTGGGCACAGTGGCTCACGCCTGTAATCCCAGCACTTTGGGAGGCCAGGGCAGGTGGATCATCTGAGGTCAGGAGTTCAAGACCAGCCTTGAACATGGCGAAACTCAATCTCTACTAAAAATACCAAAAATTAGCAGGGTGTGGTAGTGTACGCTTGTAATCCCAGCTACTCGGGAGGCTGAGGCAGGACAATTGCTTAAACCTGGGAGGCAGAGGTTGCAGTGAGCTGAGATCGTGTCACTGCACTCCAGCCTGGGCAACAAGAGTGAAACTTTATCTCAAAAAAAAGAAGTATTCTCAGCTGGCCACCATGGTGCATGACTGTACCCCCAGCTACTCAGAAGGCTGAGGCAGGAGGATCACTTGAGCCTAGGAATTAGAGACTATAGTGTACTATGATGGCACCTGTGAATAGCCACAGCACTCCAGCCTGGGCAACATTGCGAGACCCTATTTCTTAATTCAATTTATTATATGTTTAAAGTACACCCATGTTTATTTTAGAAAAATCGCTCAGGCTACAATTGTGAATGGATTGGAAAGAGGCCTGACTAGAGGCAGAACCTACTTCCTTTCAATATTGGCTCTTGGTTTTTATTGTAGTGTGCTATTTGAAGTGCCAAAGCTGAAAAGTGGAAAGAGTGCATTGGAAACTGAGAGTGAGAGTCTGGATAGCTTCACAGCTGACTCGGATAGCACCTCCAGGTGAGGTTCCCACATTTCCCTCATCTCCACATAACCCAAGTTGCGATTTTGTCCTGCAGCATCAGTGTTCCTGAGTTCTGTCCTCAGGAAGTTGAATGAAATATTTCCTCTGACCTCACCAGAAGTCTTTTTGGTAACATGTGTACTGATTTGGCTCTGAGCACAGCTTCCTGGATCATATTGGCTTCCCCAGTCGACTCCCCCAGTACCTTGGAGTATTCTTCTTAGCCCTGTAGCAACTGATGCTGCTATCCTTTAAGAATGAGGGATATGAGTGTTTGTGTTTGTGCAAAGTTGCCTATCTGATGATCTTCTGCATTCCTTCCAGGTAAATCAGATGTGAAGTATGCCTTCTGAATTTGGTTATTAGCATGACCCAAGCCACTGGCTTTCCTTCCATAGAGCTTTGATCTCTGGGTGCAAGGGGAAGGGGAGGAGGTGACTTAGTTATAACTTGTGAATCTACTTCCAGGAGAGACTCTCTGGATAAATCTGGCCTCTTTCCAGAATGGAAGAAGATGTCTGTTCCCAAATCTCAAGTAGAAAAGGTAAGCTTCAGGTTACTGAGCCACCTTTCTCCCTGCCCTTCCTTCCCTTCCTCCTTTACCTCCCTGTCTCCCTCCATCTTTCCCTTCTTCCCTCCCCCTCACTCTTTTCTTCCTCTTTCTTCCCTCCCTCCCTTCCTCCATTCTCTTAGGCAGAATTTATATCAGGAATTCAACAAAACAAATTTCAGTTCAGAGTCACTTGGGAGCATTTTCTAAGGTTTGGTTGAAATGTGTGAGAAAATAGGTTTTGTACTATTCCTAGGCACATAATCTTTCCTTTAAGTTTGTCATAGTCTTGGGAAAATCTGAGCCTCATTCTTCTTAAGGCTATCCTTCCTTACTCACTCCTACCTGTCCATCTGCCCTTTTCCATTTTCGTGCCCTTGTTCCTTTCTAGGAAACCCAGCCTGGAGGTCAAAATGTGGTATTTGTGGATGAGGGTGACATGCTGTTTAAGAAGAACACCAGGAAAATCCTCAGGCCTTCAGGTAACTGGTTTCCCTTACTCATCTTTTGGGACTTAAGTTCTGAGTACCCTTGATGGGCTCTTGGTATGGAGAAGAATAGGTCTCTTTTGATTTGGCTTTTTGGTCTTCTTCTCAGAGTACACTAAGTCTGTGATAGATCTTCGCCCAGAAAGTGGCCCCTTGGGAGACAGAAGCAAATCTGTCCCAGGCCTCAATGTGGATATGGTAAGTGCCCTTGTATTTCACTTTGTCACTATATGAAATTTTATTTATCTAGATTTGGCTTTAGTACCTGATATTCTCAATCAACCTATTTAATTCTTTAGGAAAAGGCAACATGAAACTTGATACCCCCAAATTTCTAAAGTAAATCTGGTTCCTGATTTGCTTAAAGGAAAGGACTGTCTTTGCTATCTCTTTTCTTTCTTTCTCTTTGACAGTGTCTCGCTCTGTTGCCCAGGCTGGAGTGTAATGGCACGATTATAGCTCAGAGCCTTGAACTCCTGGGCTCAAGCTGTCCTCTCACCTCAGCCTCCCGAGTAGTTGGGACTTTAGGCATGAATCATCATACCTGGCTAATTCTTTTTTGGGGGGGTGGGGGTGGGTGGGGGAGGTGTTGTCTCCCTATATTGCCCAGCCTAGTCTCAAATTCCTGGGCTCAAGTAATCTACCATCCTCTGCCTCCCAAAGTGCTGGAATTACAGGCATGAGCCACCATGCCTGGCCATCTCTTTTCTTTTTTTCTTTTTTTTTTGAGATGGAGTTTCGCTCTTGTTACCCAGGCTGGAGTGCAATGTCGCGATCTTGGCTCACCACAACCTCTGCCTCCTGGGTTCAGGCAATTCTCCTGCCTCAGCCTCCCGAGTAGCTGGGATTACAGGCACGTGCCACCATGCCTGGCTTATTTTTTGTATTTTTTGTAGAGACGGGGTTTTGCCATGTTGACCAGGATGGTCTCGATCTCTTGACCTTGTGATCCACCCGCCTTGGCCTCCCAAAGTGCTGGGATTACAGGCTTGAGCCACCACGCCCGGCCTTTATTTTCTAATAAATTGCTGGATATATGGCTGGGGCTCAAATAAATACTTCTCTTGGTTAAAATGTAAAGAGATAGCTGGGTTGGGGAAAGTCTAATGGAAAAGAGTTATAGCTTCTATGAAAAACATTAAATATTCTTATCTTATTCTTTGAGATATGAGAAGGATGGTTGGAATAGAGCTGGGAAGCCTGAAATGGGAAGACATATAAAAAGAAGAATGTGTGCATACATATGCAACTTGGAGCTTTGTGACAATTATGGCTCCCACTACAGGAAAGATGTTAGTCTTTGAAGCTAAAGAAAGGTATTTCTTTTATTAATTCTGAATCTATATTGTTCTAGGAAGAGGAAGACGAAGAAGAAGAAGAAGACATTGACTACTTAGTGAAGTTACATCGCCAGAAGTTAGCCAGAAGCAGCATGCAAAGTGGCTCCTCCATGGTAAGTTCTATTAGATCTGTGGTTATAGGCATATTGGGGTACTAGGAAGAAAAGAAGCACCTCCCTCGAGCAGACTCGGGACCTGCGGAAACCATCCTCGTCACTCTTTTCAGTTAAGTAAGATGCATTTGTTTGTTCCTATCCTCAATTTAGACTATAGGGGCTTAGTGTACACTAGGGGACTTCCTGAGTCCCCATCCTGGAGATTATCACATTAGATAATTAAGACTGGGAACATTCTTCATCACAGCTTTGTGAGCAGTAACCTTAACTTATCCTCTAAAGGGGTACCCAGGCTGTGAAGTAAGCAAGATCAGATTTCTTCATCATAGCGCACTCTAAATTCCCAACATTAAAGGAAAGTGAGTGTCATGAGAGCGGCTCTGGCAGGGTTAGTCGACATCAGGGTATGGTTAACAATCAACACCAGCAGTCAGGATGATGAAGTTAAAGGAACATTTATGAATCAGGGCCTGGTTCTGTCATAAGCATGGAGACTGATATTTAGGGAAAGAGTTAAGAACAAGAGTAAACAGAGTTTGTTCACATTCACAGGAAGAGAAGGTCAGCTCACATGACCAATTACTACCAGAAAGGAAGGGGCCTTTTCACTTCTGGTGGGGTTTCCTCCCTCCCACTCCCTCCCAATTTTCTCTATAGGCCCTGATAGACACAAGGTGGATAAGAGAAACCCACCTTGTTTTCGTGACTGACACTGTTCTAGCTGATGTTTTAGTGTAAATAACACAGTCCCCAAATGGACTTACCTGCCCCTCGCCTCTGCTCCCTGCCCACCTCCTGGGGCAGGTGAAAGTGAACACTAAAATTTGTACAAACAGGAGAGGAAGAGAAGCTAAGAGGCTAGATGAGCCGTGAACTGATTTATTCACCTGAACAGTTATGAGTCCTGGTAGTTCTCCTTTACCCTCTGGGTCAAGGAGTGTGGGCAGCACTGGATCATTGCAGGGGCTTCTGAAACTTCTCTTCAGTGACTGTGGCTTTATCATGAGGGAAGATATGAACAACGGGGGTGGGGGAGTGTGCCTTCCCCAGATGTTTGTGAGTGCTTTTTCTTCAGAGTACAATCGGCAGCATGATGAGCATCTACAGTGAAGCTGGTGACTTCGGGAACGTCTCTGTGACTGGCAGGATTGTCTTTTCCCTGAAGTATGAGCAGCAAACACAGAGCCTGGTCGTCCATGTGAAGGAGTGCCAGCAGCTGGCCTATGCTGATGAAGCCAAGAAGCGCTCTAACCCGTGAGTGCTTCTGGAACCTGACTGATGCTCTGAGACCAGAGACCAGACCCCAGCATCTGTCTGGGCACTCTTGAAGACAGCTTATCCCTTTCTTGGGGAGTAGGGAGGTGTGATGTAGGAAAGGAACCAGGATTGGGAAAAAGCAAGAATGGCATGTCTAAGAGGGCTTGAGGTGACATTTTTGACATCATATATCACCATGCCATATTCATATGGAGAGCAGAAAAGTGAAGAGCATGTTGAGAAAGGCCAGCAAATTACTCAGTGCACTCTTTGATTTCTAGATATGTGAAGACTTACCTTCTGCCTGACAAGTCCCGCCAAGGAAAAAGAAAAACCAGCATCAAGCGGGATACCATTAATCCACTATATGATGAGACCCTTAGGGTAAGTATCTAGACACCAAGGGTAGGAGAACCTGTTTTGTCTTGTGCCCTAGGCTGTAACTATTCCTCTGCAACACGGCCAGGTGACATGAGTTTCAGTGGGCCATGTCTGTGTCTGAGGATACATTGGGTACCTGTTCACATCCTGATTTCCTGGATTGTTGTGAAGCTGGAGATTCACATGGCCACAAATCTCATTTTAAAAAGACATTTGAGATAAGGAGTCTCCTTGTCAGTTCTTTTTGGACGACTCAGTATTCTCTAACCTACTCAAGGAAAATCTAATTTTCCAGGTCTTCCTGTGGAATATGGTAGGTTTTTTATAAAATGAGGTAAGTTGAGGCTTTGAGTGAGGAAACTCAAAGTGCTTAGGGAATATAAAGGAATTTGGTATTCAGGACTAGTGACTTCAGGAATGGTTGCTCAGGTTTTGGAATATTCTTGTCTGAGGAATTACCCTAAACTAATCATCTTGGGCTTCTACTTTCCCTTCCCAGTATGAGATCCCAGAATCTCTCCTGGCCCGGAGGACCCTGCAGTTCTCAGTTTGGCATCACGGCCGTTTTGGCAGAAACACTTTCCTTGGAGAGGCAGAGATCCAGATGGATTCCTGGAAGCTTGATAAGAAACTGGATCATTGCCTCCCTTTACATGGAAAGGTAGCCTGCTTTAACAACTCATGCAGTTTGGATTTGAGGTAGAATTGTCTGCAGTAGCCTCTGCTGGTCTATGTTGGTAGCGTCTTTGAATGTAGTCTTCTCTGGAGTTCTAGTGCCCCCTGCTGGTGTTTCTGAGTTTCACAGCAATTTCAGAGGCATTTGTATATCCTGTGTGCTGTATAAACCAGGCAAAGTATGAAGCCATGGTTTTGCTTTGAAAACATGTTCATATGTGTCCTAAGCTTTGCCTCCTAACCTTCCACAATCTGGGTGTATCCTAACATCCTAACTCGCACCTCTTCTCCAAGCTAAGCTTCTGTGTATATCCTAATTTGCACCCTTTTGCCAAGCTACTGCTTTACTTCCAAGGAGGAAGTAAAGCAATTCACGGAGCTCCAATTACTATACTCTTGGTCACAGAGGCCAGGGAGAATCTGACTTTGGAGATGGCACTTAGGGCCAGAGTGTAGCAATATGGCATAATCATGCCTGGGATCTGAGTGCAGACCTGTATTGGAATCCTGGTTCTGTCACTTGCCAACTAGATGAGTCACTTAACTTATAAAATAAGGTAGGGAAGTCATCTGGTTAAGATGACATTGCTAAAACAGAGGACTTATTCAGCAACTTCTTGATTATCAGAACTATACAATGACATGACAAAGTTCATCTTTAGGTTTTTTTACATTAGCATTTTAACTGTTTAAAACAATACATGGTCCATAAACTATCTTTGGGAAGTTAGATGAGAAAGTAGTCATGGTGGCTGCCTCTAGGAATAGAGACTGAGGTAGAAGGAATATTTAGTTTTCTCTATATCCCCTTTTTAAGCATTTGAACTTTTTACCATGTTAAGAAATTTAAGCAAAAATGGACTTAGGTACACAAGGTTTAAAATTAAAACAATGTAAGGTATATTAAAAGGAAAGTAGGTTTCATTCCTTAGAAATAATCACTGTTAACAGTTACTTGTGTATCTTTCTAGAAATTTTGTATGGCCGGGTGCAGTGGCTCATGCCTGAAATCCCAGCATTTTGGGAGGCAGAGGCAGGTGGATCACCTGAGGTTGGGAGTTCGAGACCAGCCTGACCAACATGGTGAAACCCTGTCTCTACTAAAAACAAAACAAAACAAAAAAATAGCTGGGCATGGTGGCGCATGCCTGTAATCCCAGCTGCCTGGGAGGCTGAGGCAGGAGAATCGCTTAAACCCGGGAGGTGGAAGTTGCACTGAGCCAAGATTGCGCCATAGTACTCCAGCTTGGGCAACAGAGCAAAACTCTGTCTTAAAAAAAAAAAAAAAAAGCTGGGCGCGGTGGCTCAAGCCTGTAATCCCAGCACTTTGGGAGGCCGAGGCGGGTGGATCACAAGGTCAAGAGCTCGAGACCATCCTGGTCAACATGGTGAAACCCCGTCTCTACTAAAAACACAAAAAAATTAGCTGGGCATGGTGGCGCGTGCCTGTAATCCCAGCTACTCAGGAGGCTGAGGCAGGAGAATTGCCTGAACCCAGGAGGCGGAGGTTGCGGTGAGCCGAGATCGCACCATTGCACTCCAGCCTGGGTAACAAGAGGGAAACTCCGTCTCAAAGAAAAAAGAAATTTTGTATTAAGCAGCCCAGATATGCATCCATGTATTTATATATATATATTTTTTACACAAATGGTCTCACATGAACCTCATTGTACACATCTCTTTTTTTTTCATTTAACAATATATCATTGACATCCTTTTGTGCCATCACTTACAGATCTATATCATTTTAATTGCCGCTGCATGGTATTTTTTCATGTGCCTGTATTACAATTTATTTATCATTCCCCCACTAATAGACATTTAAATTGTGTGAATTCTTTTTTGCTCTTAAAACTATGGTATAATATATTTTCATCTTCTTTTGTGAATGTAACTGTCAGAGAAATTCCTGTTGGTGGAATTGCTGAGTGAAAGGAAATATACATCTAATATTTTGATACCTGTTGCCCTTGCAAAAAAAATAGTGACAACATTAAATTTTCCCTTTAAATACTAATAAAAACAGGAAAGCATTCAATAGCACAGTAAGATGACGATAGTCAACAGAAGTATGTGTATTTCAAAATAGCTAGCAGATTTGAAATGTTTCCAATGCAAAGAAATGAAAAATATTCAAAACGATGGATGTAACAAAATATCACATGTACCCCATAAATACATGCTAGTATTATATATCAATAAAAAGACAGGAAAGAAATTATTACCAAACTATAACATATTATTACAAATTTAGAATTTCTTAACCATTTGGCACCCAAGTCATTCTCTATAGTCAATATAATTATATTGGAAATGTCACCATAAACCATCATGAACTACTGTGAATAAAACTGCTTTATATAAAGAGAAGAAACCACATTAACATGGAGATATTTGCTCTTTGCAAATATTTGTAGCCAGAATAAATATGTGTTACTGAAACAAATATACCAGTTTCTAGCTAATGCAAAACTCCAATGAGAGTCCACTGGAACTCACAGAAATTTTCTGAAACATTTTCTAGAAATGAATAAATTGTGTAGACATTTTATAAACAACCAAAAAAGCCATCCCCATATTATGTATCAATTTTAATTTCTACATTTGTTGTTTCTGGTTTTCTTTTTGTTTTTTCCCTAGCAATCCATTTGCTCTCATGCAGTTTTCCCTTGCCTGGATCAACCTCCTGATTCTTTCGTGTCTTTCACATATATTAAACTATATCTTCTGAGTATGGTACATTGATCCAGACCTATGGGATTATTGGCTTCCTAGCATTGGTGAGGACCTAGGTTAGAGGAGCCCCAATTAACACAGGCAAGGCCGGGCATGGTGGCTCATGCCTGTAATCCCAGCACTTTGGGAGGCTGAGGTGGGTGGGTCGCTTGAGCTCAGGAATTCAGGACCAGCCTGGGCAACGTGGTGAAACCCCATCTCTACAAAAATTAGCTGGGTGTGGTGGTGTGCACCTGTAGTCCCAGCTGCTCGGGAGGCTGACACTGGAGAATCACTTGAGTTTGGACTCAGGTTGCAGTGAGCCGAGCGCCATTGCATTCCAGCCTGCCTGGGCTGTGGGAGTAAAACACTGTCTTTAAAAAAAAAAATACAAGCAGGTAAAAGGGCATCTCTAGTCTGCACCAGCTCATGTTCTGGATACTAAAGCATAAGGAACAAAGTCACGCAGAGAGAGCCAACAGAGTGAAGCAGTTCTGCCAACCAAAGCCAAAGACGATAGGCCACCTGCTACTCATCCCAGACATTCATTCATTCACTCTTATATTCATTCACTAAATATCTGTGGAGCACCTGTGCCAGGTACTTTGCTAAGTGTTGGGCATACTTGGACGAACAAAAATAGGCTTCATTCCTGTCTCCTGGCACTTCGACTCTAATGGTAGAGACAGACATTGATCAAAGATAAATAAATGTAAAATTTATAATTGTAGCATATTCAAATTTGTATAACAGAGTTTCACCTGGCCTTCAAATCTTTGCAAGCCCTCTTTTGTCTTTTGGAGGGGGAGGGACAGGTTCTGGCTCTGTTGCTCAGGCTGGAGTACAGTGGTGTGATCTTGGCTCACTGCAACCTCCGCCTCCTGGGTTCAAGTGATTCTTATGGTTCAGCCTCCCAAGTAGCTGGGATTACAGGCCCACACCACCACATCAGCTAATTTTTGTATTTTTTGTAGAGATGGGGTTTTTCCATGTTGCCCGGGCTGGTCTCGAACTCCTGGACTCAAGCATTTGCCCACCTCAGCCTCCCAAACTGCTGGGATTACAAATGTAAGCCATTGCACCTGGCTGAATGCCTTTTTTTTTTTTTTTTTTTTTTTTTTTTTTTTTTTTTTTTTTGCAAGCCCTCTTTTTAAAACTACTTTGTGTTTTTAAAAATCATACAAATAATATAAACTATTCTCATTAAAAAGACACTAAATGTGAATATAGAGTAAAAAAGTAAAAGCCTTCTTTCCTTTCCCTATTCTATTCCCCTCCCTAGAGGAATTGAGGATAAATTTGTCCGAATATTGGGTTTTTCTATGCAGTGTAGTATAGTCTTCAAAAGCATGGATTCTGGAACCAGTCTGTCTGAATTTGAATCCTGGCTCTGCCAATTACTGTGTGACCTTGAGCGACTTTCTTAACTTCTCTGTTCCTCTCTTCCATCACTTGTAAAATGGGGATAATAGTACCTATCTCATAGAGACAGTCATCAAACAAAATGATACATTTAATGTGCTTATAACAATGCCTACCACAGAGTAAGGGCTAATATAAGTGATAATGATAATCGTTATTTATATACATATATTTACATGTACAAATATGAATATATTTTAATATAAGTGGGATATTTTTCTGCATATTGCTTTGTTGACTTAACCCTACATCTTGGATATCTTTCCATGTCAGCATGTACTGATTCACTGCATTCTTTTTGATGACTGTAAGCCATATGCCAGACAAGGACACTACAATTATTCATTTAACTCTTTCTATATTGATTGCCATTTAGGTTGTTTTCACTAACAATGCTGCTAGCAAGATTCTCCATCATGGTCTCAGTCCTTTGTGAGTTTGTATGGCCACTTTCCTTGAAGATCTTTGAGAGTATTTGGAATTTAGTAACTATACGCCCAAAGTGGCATAATAGTGGGTATTGCAGAAGACTCTTCATTGGTTCTCCTTCTAATGAAACTGCCTTAGAAACCTGTGGCTGCCATGGCCTAGGGACCCTGGATTATATTCATACGAAGAAGTATCCTCTTTTGCCCTGATGCTGTTCTTGGGGGATAATTTTCGAATTTTCTCAGGGAGAGGTCCCAACAATTCCTGAGAAGCCCAGCTTGACCTGTTGGGTTTCCCTATGTTTCAGATCAGTGCTGAGTCCCAGACTGGCTTGCCATCACACAAAGGCGAGTTGGTGGTTTCACTGAAATACATCCCAGCCTCCAAACCCCCTGTTGGAGGTGACCGGAAAAAGAGTGAGTTTTCTTTGGGGCCCTGGATTTAGCTCTTAGTCTTCTGCATAGGATCTATGCAAGGCTGGTGCTGGCTACTGGCCAGCACTCTTGGAGAGATCAGATTGGGATGTTCCCTGGATCTGCTAGGGAGATTCCTTTACTAGGGAAGCCTCTTGGTGTTTTTTTCAACCAGAATGGAATGCTTTAGGGTTGGCATTCTTTTCTTTTTTAGGCTATTAAATGGACTTGGTCTTGGTCCAGCTGTGGCAAGCTACAGAAACTTTGGGGCTGAGAAGGGTGGCTGGGAGAGGTGGTAAAGTATAAAGGACAGGAAGTTGCAGGCTGAGGAAGCATAATTCAACATGCCAGGCACTGTGTTAGTGACTACAGTTGTGTAGATGAGTAAACCGTATTTGCTTTCCCTTGAGGAGCTTCTGTTTTGCAAGAAAGACAGTTATGTGCTAAAAGGACACAGATACAGGAGTGGTAAATTATGTCTGGTTACATTTGGGAGAGCTTTGAAGAAGAAGTCACATTAAAACTGGACCTTAAAACTTCACCAGACACAAAAGGAGGAAGAGGAGAGAAAACCATTTTCAGAAGAGGTTAACATGAGCAAAAGTTTTAAAAAGGCATGATAAATGTGGGGTTGTATGTGAATGTGTCTCTTATTTTAGAGGGATTGGAGTTTTTTGGTATGCTAGATGTGGGTGTGGGGCTGGAGTTTGACATGAGGTGGGAGCCTGACTGAAGAGGGCCTTGAACTTAAAGAGTTTCACTTGATCCATTGGCAATGTGTAGCCCAAGTTCTTTGAAAAAGTATACCTTCGGCAGAGTCACATCTATAAGGTTTGGGGGAATCAATGAGATCCCCCAATGAGGGTATGTAGGATGACTAGAGAAGAGAGGCAAGTATGGAACCAGAAAGATCAGGAACATGTTAAAAGATGAAGAGAGAAAGAAACATCAGTGACGTAAAAGGTTGTCAGGAGAGAGCTTCAAGAAGAAGGGGCGGGGGTTATTAACAGTATTGAAATACTACAGGGAGGTCAGACCAGATGAGGTCTGAGAAGACATGGCTAATTGGCATTAGATTGCATTTTCAGTGGATCAGTGAAAGCAGAAACCAGATTTCACTATAAACTAGGCTGAGTGAATGGACAAAGAAGTAGAGGTGTAAAGTGTAGACTTTTTTTTTCCCTCAGGGTAATTGATGGTGAAAGAAAGTAGAGACATGGAGAATAGCCTGAAGAAAAGATAAGGTTAAAGGGAGATTTTCTTTTAGAAGTTTTTTTTTTTTTTTTTTTTTTTTTTTTTTTTAAGAGATGAGATTAGTATATATTCAGACTGAGGGGAAGGGACTAGTGGAGAAAGAGAGATTTAAATTGGGAGGTGGGGATTGAAATTGATGATGTCTGATGAGTCCTGTGAAGTGGGGATGGAATCAAGAACTCAAATGGAGGAGTTCCCTCTTTTTTAAGTCATTAAACCAATATCAGGCAACTTTATGTCTCTAAGCCTCAATTTCCTCATCCATTAAATGAGGAAAAAAATAGTGTGATTCTTAATGAGTTGTTTTGAGAATTAAATGCTTAACATAGTATCTGGCACATAGCCAGTTTTCAATAGGCATTTATTGATATTGTGGTTGCTATTAATAGAGTGCCCATTGCTTACTGGTGGGCACTGTGCTAGGCACTGAGGAGACAGGACAGGCATGGTTCTGTTATGGAGCTTGCTGTCTTTAGGAGCAAGGAAAGAAAGTGTTGCATTAAGAAGGCTCAAAATGAATCTAGAGGTGTAAGGGGCTCACTTGCTATGGCTGACATCCCTTACAGGTAAAGGTGGGGAAGGGGGAGAGCTCCAGGTGTGGATCAAAGAAGCCAAGAACTTGACGGCTGCCAAAGCAGGAGAGACTTCAGACAGCTTTGTCAAGGGGTGAGTCCCTAGACCAGCCTCAAACTAACCAGTTTCAGAACAAGACAGCTAAGGGAAGAACCCAATTTAACTTTCTCTGTGGATATTATCCAGTGTGTCCTACCACTCCCAGCAACTAAATTTGTTACTGAAATTAGGTAATGGCGAAACCTCCACCACCTTTGCACTAGTCTGAGCCCAGTTTTGATTGGGCTATAGTGTTGATAACCCAAAGAGGAGGGTTGTAGACAGGTTCTGACTTTTGTCTGACTCATGCTCTTAATTCTGGTTAAAAATCTGTGTATTCTGACTGTTTAGATTTGGGAACTCAGGGCTTCCCCCCCCCCCACAATTTTTAACCTTTCCCCAAATTACAGATCACCCACTGACTTAATTTATCTAGAGATCATGTTTGGCTGAGCTTATAGATATTACTTTACTATTGGTTTTATTTAAAGAGATAAATTGTCTAGTAGAAACAGAGCCACATATTTAAAACGCGTTTTCAGTGGAGCACAGAATAGCCTCACTAATACTCTTATATTCATTTTCTCTCTAGGTTAAAGGAATTGAATCAGGTGAATGATCTAGTAGAGGGAGTGGGAACTCTGCTTCAGCAGATTCAATGAGGGGCGTGTATACTAGGATCTGGGTGTGGGTTCATCTTCCTGGGCTAGGACTGTGGTAGGGGAAAGGGGAATTTAGAGAGATACTGCCAGCTTTGGGTAGGCTGTTGATTACTCCCCACCCTCTGCCAGATACCTCCTTCCCATGAGGAACAAGGCCAGTAAACGTAAAACTCCTGTGACGAAGAAGACCCTGAATCCTCACTACAACCATACATTTGTCTACAATGGTGTGAGGCTGGAAGATCTACAACACATGTGCCTGGAACTGACTGTATGGGACCGGGAGCCCCTGGCCAGCAATGACTTCCTGGGAGGGGTCAGGCTGGGTGTTGGCACTGGTGAGAGCCCCTCCTCTATCCTTGCTTGTTTGAAAGGCTTCTTGTCTATTTCACTCCTAATACCACTCCTCCCCCCAACACACAAGCTCCTCTGTAATGACAGTTGTCTTCTTTCCTTTCAGTTAACATTCAACCAATACTTATTGAGTGCCTACTACGTGCCAGGCCTAGGGGAAGGCTGAGCTCATGCACTGATACGTGTACAGATAAATGTGACCCTGATTGCCAGGAACTCCATCATCTTCCCATCAAAAAAAAATCTACAAACCTACCTATATGTATATACCTATACATTCCATCCTCCATCCTCTTAATAATGAAAGAAGGGTCCTTGCTAGCAAAAGCTAAGCTCTCTGCAAGTCCTCTGGACCACCTCCCTCCCCCTTCTCAGTGACCTCACTTCTATAATCTTCATGTCTCAGTTTTATCCTCCCTACCTCCCAGGGGTGAATACAGATATGCTCTGGTATTTCCAATCTTATGAAACAAAAATAAACCTTCCCTTGACCACACTCTAGTTTCTTAAAAAGAATCGTCTCCACTTCTCACCTCTCCTTCAGCTCTCCTTCACTGTGATCTGGCTTTTGTCCCAACATTCTGCTGAGCAGTTGCTCTTGCCAAAATGTTGTTCTCATCTCACCAGAATTTTCAGCATTATTTAACATAGTGGATCACTCCTCTTTGCTTGAAACACGGAGCTTCTATTGACACTGTACTGTGATTCCCTTTTAAGTCACTGCTCACCCCTTCTCAGTTTTCTTCGTAGGTGCTTCATGCTGTACCCAAACTCTAAATGTTGGTGCTTTGCAGAGCTTAGCCTCGGATCCTCTTCTTTGCTCTCTCCGCCAGTCTCTGCACTTGTATATTAATATAATTATATATTAATAATCACACAGAGCATTTAACATGAAGCATCTAGACCGATGTTTTCACACATGTAAGCCAATTCCTGTCAGTTCCCTGTTAAAATCCCTCAGTGGCTTTTTACTGTGCTTAGAAAATGATCCAAAGTTCTTACCATGCCTACAGGCCCCTGGGCCTGTGTAACCTGGGCCCTCTATTCCTTTCTGATCCGTCTCTTATCACTCTTCCCCTTGTTCACCATGCTTCAATCACAATGACTTTCTGCTCTCCAAATATACCAAGCTCATTCCTACTTCAGAACCTTTGCAATTATTGTTTTCTCTGAATGGAAATTCTGGTTCCTTCTTATCCTTCAGGTCTTGGCTCAAATGTCACCTTCTCAGAGCGTCCCTTAGACTGCTCCATCTGCACAGTAGGTCCTGATCCAGGCACTACACATCACCCTATTTATTTACTTCATAATGTTAATCTCACTACCTGAAATAGTCTTAGTGGTTTACTTGTATATTTTCTGTCTTCTCTATTCAAATGAAAGTTGTCTGAGGACAGGAACTTTTTCTGCTTTGTTTACTAGTGTCTCCAGAGCCTAAAAGAGTACCTGGCATACAGTAGGCACTCAATAAATGTTTGCTGAATGAATGGGTGATATAAAAGAGAATAGGAATGGGGCCACATATGATCCTCGATTCTGGCCTGGAGTCTGCAGCTAGAGGAAAGGTGTTTACCTTTAAAAGAAAAAAGTTGGCCAGGTGTGGTGGCTCATGCCTGTAATCCCAGCACTTTGGGAGGCTGAGGCAGGGAGATCACGAGGTCAAGAGACCGAGCCCGTCCTGGCCAACATGGTGAAACCCTGTCCCTACTAAAAATACAAAAAAGTTAGCTGGGCATGGTGGCACGTGCCTGTAGTCCCAGCTACTTGGGAGGCTGAGGCAGGAGAATCGCTTGAACCTGGGAGGTGGAGGTTGCTGCGAGCCAAGATTGCACCACTGCACTCCAGCCTGGTGACAGAGCGAGACTCGGTCTCAAAAATATAATAATAAATAAAAAGAAAAAAGTTTAAATACAGTTGGCAATAACTCTGGCATGAGGTGTCAGGGACTAGAACTCTGTAACAGCCTCAGAACAGCAAGTCTCTAGTGACTGTGTGCCATTTGGAGTCTGATTTCATCAAACCAGAGTCTCTTGACAGAGTCTCAGGAGTACCAGAAATACATGTACAGAGTCAACAGGAAGCACTTCCCAGACTGCTGTGCCCATCAGCCCATCTTCATAGGAAACTGCCTGTTATGGGGTGGCTACTCTTGCTGTACAACCCGTCTTTCCTGGTGGGCTGAGTGGGGCCCCTCTTTAGCGTCCTCTGGTGTTTCTCCTCAGGGATCAGTAATGGGGAAGTGGTGGACTGGATGGACTCGACTGGGGAAGAAGTGAGCCTGTGGCAGAAGATGCGACAGTACCCAGGGTCTTGGGCAGAAGGGACTCTGCAGCTCCGTTCCTCGATGGCCAAGCAAAAGCTGGGTTTATGAGTCCCTGTCCTCTTCTGCAGGTCCAGCCCTGGGAAGGGCAAGTCAGAGGAAGTGAAGAAACCAAGAGCAAAGATTTATAATTTAATTGTGTGTGTGTGTGTGTGTGTGTGTTTGTGTGTGTGTGTACAAACATGTATTTTCTGCAAATCTCATTATGCTGGCTAGAGTGTTGCAGACTTCTCCTTTTTAAAGCAGTCTCAAGAATAAGCATCTCTTCAAAATGTTTCTGTGTATAATCTAGTATATTTTCAGAGTCCATTGTTTCTTATGTCTTTATAAGGTTTACTTAAAAACATATTTTAAAACAACTTTTTATCTTCAGTCTTGCTATCGTTGTTCCTACTTCCCTAGGAAGCCCTGGCTACCTTTGGCATTAGGACCAGTCTGGGTTTTAAGGCTCTGGGAAACAGTTGAGTGACCAAAGACACAGGAATGTAGGGGAGAGGAGAGTAGTTCTTCCCTCTTTCTCCTCTCCAATTTATGCTTTTAACTTATGTTCTACGTTGATAAACTTCTGGAACTTGGCTTTTAAATTTATTTTTTCTAGTTTTTAAGCTGTTTCCACCTTGCTTTGGCCGAATGCTTTTCTTTGAAATGCCAACAGAATTCACAAGCTTTTTCCAGTTCTAGACATCTTTACTAAACCTTTGGGGGACCCTTATAATGGAGCTGCTTTAGAAAAGCACTTTAGTCAGATAATGGATTTTTGACTAAGTCATGGGCATGCCCAGTGAGAGCTTCTAGTTGACCTCAGAGGACCTCAGTGACTGAGGGTAAAGTGTCTCACAGCCTATGCTGAATTTTCTGTATTTTAAACTGATATTGCAGTTGTTGGAGAGAGAGCTCCTCATTTCGCTAATGAAAGATGAGATATATTCACCCTCATGTACCACACCTTAGTGTTTGTGTCTCACAGAGCATTGTCTGCATCCCACTGTAGCAGCCGGAAGAACCAAGTGTTATCTAAACTGGCCCAGTGTTTCTCCAGGCTGGGGACTGTTAGGGCTCTAAGAGAATGTAGGCAGAGTCTTCCTGTTATTCTGACTTCCTGCCTGGTGAGCTTTCAGTTCCTATTGTTTACGAAGTTTGACCTACATATTATATGGGTGTAGTGTGTTGTGAGGCTTTTCAAAGAAGGGTCTGGTGAGCTAAGTTTCATCTTCTGGTACTCATTGATCCAAACTGACCTTTTTATTCTGATAAGGATTTCTACCCAAAGTTGTATGTGGAAGGAGTGTATAGCAGAGAGGAAATCACTTTCTTTTTTTTTTTTTTTTTTTTTTTTTGAGACGGAGTTTCGCTCTTGTTACCCAGGCTGGAGTGCAATGGCGCGATCTCGGCTCACCGCAACCTCCGCCTCCTGGGCTCAGGCAATTCTCCTGCCTCAGCCTCCTGAGTAGCTGGGATTACAGGCACGTGCCACCATGCCCAGCTAATTTTTTTGTATTTTTAGTAGAGACGGGGTTTCACCATGTTGACCAGGATGGTCTCGATCTCTCGAACTTGTGATCCACCCGCCTCGGCCTCCCAAAGTGCTGGGATTACAGGCTTGAGCCACCGAGCCCGGCCAGGAAATCACTTTCAACAGAGTCAGCTGCTAGCTGATTTCCTATAAAGACACTGGATTAAGGGCAGCTACAATGGTTTCTATTGTATTTATGAACTGAATGGAGGAATGTTTTCAAAGATTGATTTGGTGTGGATTGCTATTGTAATGGAAGGCATAACTTGGGATCCCGGGCTGTAACTTGCTCTTTTGTTTCCCGCCCCCCTGACATGTATGTGTGCTTTAATAAAGCTTTCTCACTTGTCAAATGTTTGCATGTGTTAGTTCTATAAATGCTTTTGTCTCTGATGTCCTAACTCACTGTTGCTTTCCCCATGGCTTGAAGGATAAGAACCAAAGTGATAAACGCTCTTCCCTAACCATCCTGTGCTGATTGTAGAAAATTCGCTTTTGCCTACATTGCTCTCTGACACCTTTGCTGAGCTCTCATCCCTCGTCCTTTGTGTTTGGTATCTACCTTTTTTAGGTTTGTAGACTCTCCTGTGCTAGAGGAAGGAGAGAGATGTTCATACAGGAGGTGAGGGAGGACATTTCCTGCTATAAGCACTTCTTTCTGGATCCTTCGGTTTCTCTGGGAGGTGGGGACTTTTTCTAATTCACTCCTCCTACCATTATGTAGTTTTAAGAGAGAAATAACACAGATGCCAAGTAACCCAGCTCAGAAATAAGGCTTTTGATTTCTAGGTAGAACCCATGCAATTCTTGACCTCTTAAACAAAAGGGCATTAATATATACCAAATGCTTTTTATGCACAAGGCTTCATATACTATTTATTTAATTTCTCCAACAACCTTATGAAGTAGAAAATCTTCCCTTTTTACAGATGAGGAAACTCAAGCCCACCATCACATGACAGAGTTAGGCTTTGAACCAAAGTCTGACTCTACTGCACCATGAGGCCTCCTGTGAGAATGGTGTGTGTGTTATGAGTGAAGAGTCAAAGGAAGAGATGACTCATCTAAAGTATCTTAAATAAGTTTAATTTACAAAAAGTAGGACAATCAGAATGCTTTGGACATTACCTAGCCAACTTAGTGACTGTACGGCTTGTGAGTGAGTGAGTGAGTGTGTGTGTGTGTGTGTGTGTGAGTGAGAGAGAGAGAGAGAGAGAGAGAGAGAAAGGGAGAAATAGGAGGGACAGGCAGGAGAAGAGAGAGTGGTGCAGGGAGGAGAAGTGGGGCAGAGGTGGGCAGAAAGCGAGAGATATAATATATATTTAGGAGTTGGGCTAGCCCCTTTGGGTCTGGCTGTGGGCCTTATTCTGCTGCTGTCTCTCCCCTACTTTAGGAGTTGGGATTTCTCAAATCCTCATCTTCAAAGGACTACAAAGGAGGTTACTGTAAAACTTTACCTAAAGAAAGCAAGATTGACTTGACTATTCAAAATGAAATTAAACAAAGGCTGCTCAGTTGCAAATACATGTTCCTTGAGTCAGGCCCAGGTGGAGCTCTGTTCAGAAGGTAGTAGGCCTCCTCTCTTTGGGCCTTTGACTTGCTAACATGTCCTGGTTTGCCACTACAAGTGTTAGTGATAAAGACAAGGAAGGGCATTCATCTCGCCCAAGGTGCAGTCTTTGCCTTTGAAACCACAGACCTAGTCTGACCAGATATTTCCCACATGAACTCATTGTGTCTGTCTTCTGCCCATAACTTAACTGCTGCCTCTCACAGCTCCCATATTTCCCTAGAGGGAAGAGGGAGACATGACCTTTTTGCTCCAACTTTGAACATATCCTCCATGTTCTGGTCTACCCAGCAACTTCCTAATTTTTTACTTTGCATTTAAAAAATGATATTTCCACTAAAACCCCATTGGAAGCGGCTTCTCTCTGACTCACTGCTCTCCTCATTTGTTCTGGGCTCATGATTTATGCCCCATCACTCTTTTTAAAGACTAAATTTTCTCAGGTTGAGAGCTTTTCATTTCCCTCTTTCGTCCTGAGCCCACTCTGAGCCTTGTGTCTGGGTGGGGTTATAGAACATGGAAACGTTCTCCTTGCTTACAGCTTTCAGTTATCTTTAAATGGAAAGTAGGAAAAGAAGTAGCGGCAGGATGGCATAATGTCTAAGTACATTGCCTCTAGAGCCAGGCTGCTGGTGTTGAAATCCTGACTCTGCCCCTTACTATCTGTCTGATCTTAGGTAAATTGCCTAATCTCATTCAGCTCCAATTTCCTCATCTGTAAAATGGGGTTAATAACAGTACCTACCTCATAGGGTTCTTGTGAAGGCTTCAGAGTTAATCAGTAGAGTGTTTAGAACTGCACCTGGTACACAGTGAGTGCTCCAGCATTATGAGCTCTGCCTCCCCACCCAGCCTGCTTCCTTCTGCCCTTAAGTCATCCACTGATGACCCCCTGAGTAAAGCTGAAGGAGAGAGGCTGCTGAGTCTTAGCTATGACTCTGGGTTCCATGGCTGTATGAAAGAAGATTCTCAGCAGCAAGGGAGAGAACACTTTGCTTTCAGACACTGGTACACCACTGAGAGAGACTGAAGTCAGAGCAGGGATCTGTGTGTGGCTCCACCTCGAATTTATTTTTAGGCCTGGTAAGGCTTTTGTGCTTTTATAACTTCCACCTGCTCTGTGCCATCTCCCATAAGGGGATGAGTATCTGAAGAAGTTAATACAGGAGGCTGAGTCTGTTTTTCTTTTCTTTCCCTACGACCTGCAGTGGTGGCTTTGAAGTTTCCTAAGTAACAAGTTGGGGGCTCCTCTGATGAAGGGAGAGAATTGTTTGCCTTTTGCTACAGAAACTGAAGGCCTCAGGAAGAAGGGGTTCTTGCCCATGAGCCAGTTGGAAGGTCCCTTTCTGCTCTGATTGGATACATCTTCCCACTGCAGTGTTTTCTTAACAGTGAAGAAATGGTTCAGATAACATTTGCTACCCAATGCCCTAGAAGGGGAAATGACAATGACAAGCAAGTTCAAGAATGTTTTGTACCCTGCTACCCACCCCGCCCCCCCCCGACCCCCCACCGCCGGCAATAGTATAAGGAAAATCCAGCTACACTTGCTTAAAGTGTCAGCTGGTTGTCTGTTGTGCTGGTGCTGCCCTCTGCTGTCACCTCAGGGTAGAGGAACCAGTTAAAACAGCCAGTTCATGAGTGAATTTAGGATTTACTTTTCTGAAAGACTGGAGAGTTGGGCAGAGGCCCAGGTTAGGAAAGGAAGAGCTTCTACCCTCAACCCACTGCCCAGACAGGGCCTGTCCTCAGCCCCTGCCTAGCTTCTAGGGAAACTATTCAAAAGCCCTAAGAGGATGCCTGGAAACATTGTAGGATTCGGCAAACTCACGCACCTCAGTCCTGTCCCTGGAACTGTGGGAAACCATTTCTTCCTTTTATTAGGCCTCAGTTTCAGCTAACTAGAGGAGCTTTTCCTTTGACTTCAACCGTACCCTAACTCAAGTTCACTCGCATATGTCCCTTTGCTCCCGGCGCTGGATCAATTCCTGATTGCTCAGTAGGTAGTCATCAATGAATGTGAAGATTTCCTCAGGGGTGACAGGTTCCATGTAGCGGTCTCGGTCAATACCCTGCTTGTCAATCAACACCATGTTGAAGTAGGAGCGAGTGAGGCGCTGAAATTGCCTAGAGAGAGCAGCCCAGGGAGGTATGAGACCTTGTCTGGGCACCCATCCCCCCAGGCTCTGACTTTTTGCAGCTCCACTCATGGACTAATTCCTTGCCTACCTCATCCCCGGTCCCCATCCCCTCCACTTCCTATCTCAAATCCCTTTGTTTTTCTACTCTTGCTGCCCCTATACATCTAGTACTGCAAAGCTGTCCCTTCCTCATCTCAGCTGCGACAGCTTTGTTATTAACAGGCAGTGCTTTCATTGTAGGCCCCTTTAAGCAGAGCTATTACATACTGCTGTGCAGGCTGTGCAGGGTGACTCCAGGGGCCACCGGCTGCAGAGACTATGCTGTGTATGCACATCATACATGGAAGCCCTTAGGTTGATACATACCATCTGTTTAACTCTTCCATTTGTAGGTGCAAGTCTGCAGTCTCCTTCCTCTGAGTGTTTTCTAGTCTCTTCCCTAACTGGGACTGAATCTTTCTGTCCCCACTGAGACTGCGCTCTAGAGGTAGGTGTTATTTCTAGAACAAAGAGCAGTGATGGCTTTCTTGGCCCTGAGTATATGTGAAGGCCTTAGAATGGTGATACTGCATAGATAATGAAAAGACCAGCTTCTTCCACCACCTGTCACCTCTAATGTTCTCTTCCCCAGGAGTTGATAGATATTATTCAGATTTCAGTGCCTAAAGATGCCTTTTACAGCTGGGCACAATGACTCACACCTGTAATCACAGCACTTTGGGAGGCCAAGGCGGGCAGATTACCTGAGGTCAGGAGTTTCAGACCAGCTTGGCCAATATGACGAAACCCGTCTCCACTAAAAATACAAAAATTAGCCAGGCATGGTGGCGCACACCTATAATTCCAGCTACTTGGGAGGCTGAGGCAGGAGAATCGCCTTGAACTTGGGAGGCAGAGGTTGCAGTGAGCCAAGATCGTGCTATTGCACTCCAGCCTGGGTGACAAGAGCAAAACTCCATCTCAAAAAAAAAAAAAAAGACTTTTGCTCCTTTGGAGACTGAAGGCAAAGAGATAAGCAGGTGCTTATCTGAGTCAAGTTTGGGTTTAACTGTCTCAGCCCTGGCTGTGTGCTTCAGAGCCCCCTCAGGTGTCTTTATAAAAGCACATTCCTAAGGTGGTTTAGGGTGGAGTCTGGTCATCTGTATTTTAAGCCCTTATTTGATTCTGATGTTCTGCCAAAGTAAAGAAGTACTCTCTGGTCTTACCTAATACATCCATAAGAGTTCAAATGCAAGAAGTGCCCCAAGAGAGTAGTATCTGATGGTTCCCCCACAGCCCGCTTTTGCCAGTGTCCTGCTTAGGGTTTCTGCCCCACCCCTGTTCAGTAGCCTCCCAGCCTGGACCTGAGCTCCTCGATGATGTTGGCTGACAGCTGTTGCTCCCGGATGCGCCCCACTTCCTGTGGTGGCTGTCCCACTAGCTCAATGATGGTCACATGCCTCAAATCCAGTCCACAGGTGGATTGCTGGGAGGGAGAGAGAACATTTTACACAACAGGCCTGTGCGTTGAAACCTAAGGCTACCTGGCTGATTCCTCCTGGGACCACATGAAGCAGTGTGGGAAAGGAGCCACTTCTCCCCAGTGATCACACGATCACACTGTGGGTGCTGCAACAACCTGTTCCCTCTGTCATTCCCAAAGTACTTGCCCCAACAGTGTTTCCTTCATTCTACTGAAACCACTTACACAGTGTGGGGTAGAAAAGAGAAATTCAGTGACTAAATTGCAGGAACATAATTATTGCTTAGCTTTGCATAGGTTTTAAATTACACAAATTCTTAATGGATGGCCAATGTGATATGATAATGACTGTTTTTTATTGAATATACAAACCTAATGCTTTGTAGACATAATCTAATCCTCACAACATCCTTCAAAAGCTAGGTGGTGACAATAACATGCTGAGCCAAGATTCAAACTGAGGGCTGATGCCCTCTGCCCAGGCGTGTGCTCTTTACTACTAGGCTACTTGGCCAGGGCCTTTGCTCGGTCTCCAGGATTTCTCTGAAATTGCGCCCAGTGCTCTCTTCATTACCCTCGTTACCTTCCTTGCACTGGGCAGTGCAGCTTGCAGTCCTACCCCAGATCTCTGTCCTGCCTTGTCTTGCAGGATCACCTACTAGTCAGTTACCAGAGTGAGGTTTAAAAAGGCCTTGAATACTCCCCGGCACCTCACCTCTGTTTCCTCCTTCGGCTTCCCCTCTAGTCCTCACCCTCAGAGTCACTATGCTTGCTGGCAGGTTCCTGTTCCTGTTCCTGTTCTTACTCCCTGGCTTCCAGTTGAACTGTTGCCTTTGCCTGCTTTTTTTGATCTCTGGACGAATAAAGTCCTTTTTAGTCTAGACCTTCAATGATTCTTTTTTTTTTTTTTTTGAGACAGTGTCACTCTGTCACCCAGGCTGGAATGCAGTGGCGCAATGTCGGCTCACTGAAACCTCTGCCTCCCAGGTTCAAGCAATTCCTTGCCTCAGCCTCCAGAATAGCTGGGAGTATAGGCACCTGCCACCATGCCTGGCTGACTTTTGTATTTTTAGTAGAGACAAGGTTTCACCATCTTGGCCAGGCTCTTCAACTCCTGACTATGTGATCCACCTGCCTGGGCTTCCTAAGGTGCTGGGAGTACAGGTGTGAGCCTTTTTTTTTTTTTTTTTTTTTTTTTAAACTGCTTCCATCCTGGGCCTCTGAGTATTCACTTGGCAAGTTCTAAGATTCAACCTTTAGAAACCTCCTACATAGCTTTTTCTCCCACATGGGTATCCAGCCCCGTGCAGCTCCCTAGAGCTGCTTCTCTTAGTCTTGTCATATCTATTCTATCCTATTGTCCTCTCCCTCCCTTACCAGTGGCTTTGGCTAGGTATCTCTTATGCTAAAAACTGCCATGCAACTCTCTCATGTTACTCTGAGATATCACAACACTTTTCCTTTTTTTTTCTGGTACTGGTAGTGGCTAAGAGCACAGATTCTGCAGCCAGACTCCCTGTGTTCAATCCCAGCTCCACCACTTACTAGCTAGTGACCTTGGGCAAGTGACTTAATCGCTATGAATCGGTTTCCTCACCTGTTCAGTGGGGATAATGATAGTACCTACCTTCAAAGGGTTGTTGTGAGAATTAGATGAATATGTGTAAAGCCCATAGATCAGTACTGAATACCTACATAGCACTTACTGCATAAGTATTTGTTAGTGCTATTATTCCTTGAAAACATAAACGTAGTTAACTCCCAGCATTTACATTTGATCATAGCTGTCTTGTAAGTCTCTTCAGAGTGCTTTGCCACACTCCCTTCCCATCTTTCACCCAGCTCCCTGCAAATCACAGCCACCACTCCAGTGACTTTATTGCCTTTTCAGTAAAAACCAAGCAATTTTTAATATGCGCTAAATAGGTCTATGGTAAAACTGATCAACTTCTATCCACAAAAAGTTTCAGGAAGTAGGTAGGGTTTGTGCTGCAAAGAGCAACTCTAATTTGGAAAAGGTAAGCGGCAATTTATAAGAGCCAAGCGTCATTAGGGGAGTGGGCCTTACCTGTAGCATAGAGATCTGCATTTTATAATACCGGTTGGAGGGATCAGGAGCTGAGATGATGAGGAGTCGCTGTTTCTCATAGAATTGATCCAGAAGACCAGCAGCTGAGTTGACGTTGACATTAATCTTCATAGCTAGAGCAGAAGCAGGTGACCAGTCAGAGTATAGCTTTCTCCTCCATCCCACCTTAGGTATCCTCACATCCTGAGGTGTTCCAGTCTTTCAGGTTACCCATCTCTGGCTATTTCTCCCATCCCTTGGGGGAAATCCTGAAGGAGCACTTGGAGATTTTAAACCCTTCTTATTGGGGTAGGAGTATTCTAAGGGATAATGTAGGCCTTTAAGTTAGACACATCCCAGAACCCCCCATTCCCACATCATATACATTGTTATTAGACCCCTGTGCCATGAGGAAGATCCTCCCAAGTTCCCTTGATCACCATATCCATGTGCCCCATTCCCTGGTTTCACTCACGAGCACAGATTGGTGGTGAACCTGACCACTGGCGGCTGGACTGACAGACCCGGGAGGGGGTCCCCTGGCGCTCATAACCGCCATCACAGTGGTATTCACAGGTGGCACCATAGTTGTCCCCCGCTGAGGTGCAGGTGAGGTAGCCATGCTGTGGAGGTTTCAGAGTTGGGCAGCGTCTCACTGTCAGGAAGGGGCTCAAGTTAGAAGTTTCGGTGTTTCTCATAAGAAGGAAAGGCTAAGAGGGTGCTCATGCTGGGCTTTCGAGACCAGAAGACTTAGGATGATCAGAAAAATGGCTTTTCTATATTTCCAATGGCTGGGGATGGAGCTAGAATTTTCCTTTCTTAAGGAATTAAATCTGAAATGCAGACAAAGGTTTGCAAAGTTTGGAAACATAGGTTAATATACATGTTGTCATCAAAAGACTGTCAATCTTTAAAGGAAAATATTGCCATCCGTTTCCAGACTTTATTGACATGCTATGTAAAGATGACTACCCTGCAGAATTCCTCATAATAGCAGAAACAATTTGGAGGAATCTTAAATGTTCATTGGTGGGAGAAGGGTTAATCAAATTATGATGTATTCTTAGAGTAGAATATTATGCTATCATTACAAATATTTCTGAAGGATTTTAAAATAACATGAGAAAATTACCTTGTTAATGAAAAGTGAAAAAGGATGATTTATGATTGGATATACAGTATAATCTCAAGTATATATATTTTAAAGTATGTATAGTAAAAAGACTGGAAGGAAAATACCAAAAAGTTAATAGCGGGTGCCTCTGGATGATGGGGTAACAGATTTTTCCCCTTTATATATTTCCTTATTTATCAAATGTTCAACAATAAGCATGTATTATCTTTATAATGAGAAAAGCAAAACAAAACAATACAATACAAAGCAAAGAGGAAGAATAAGCCAACACCACCAATTTTAGCAGAGGTGAATGACAGAATGAAGGCTGATTACCTGTGATCATTTTGAAGTCTAAGAAAAGAAATGGATAAAGAGTATCTTTGTGAATTTTATCTGGATTTAGGAGAATGAGAGTCTTGTTGATGAGAGTCTTGTTGAGGAGTCAAGGTTTCAGAAACATGTATGCACATGTAATGGTGGCTTCCTAAATAAGCCTGTTTGGTAAACTTGTTTTTCTCTTCTCCCACTATAAATGAGGTATGTCTCTTCCAGACATAAAGAGGAGAGCCATGGGGTGGGTCAGGGTAGAGCAGGATTAATGAATAATATGGAAACTAAAGAATTCTTTCTGACCTTGTACTTTCACAATGAACTTGCAGCTGGCCCGGTTGTAGGCTCGATCATAGGCAGTGTAACGAATTACATGCTCTCCTTCGGGAAAGTGAGAACCAGGCTCAGGGCCCCGAAGCTTCACCCTGCATGGGACAGGATGAAAGAAGCACTCAGCAAAGAGACCCTTAGAATTGACGTCTGAGGCACATCCTCACTGTCACCTTAGCCTGTGCAGTTTCACTGTGACCAGCCTGAGTGACTGAGAGACGCTGAGGGAAAGCATAGGGAGCACCCATTATTCAGACTCACCTGGTGATGGTACCATCAGCAGAGTCTTTCACCAATGGTGGGTCCCAGTATACTCGAGCAGTCAGTTTCTCTGGCTCTGCCATCTTCTCACGTGAGTGGGGACAGCGGATCTTGGGGGGATCTATGTCTGCCAAGGTGAAAAATCAAGTACTGACTTGTGGGCCCCCTGCTTTCCCTGGAGGGGATCCATTGAAGCAATAACACACACCACTCGGTAGGTAAAAAGTTCAAAGTGCTCAAGGAAACTGGTGAAGGAAGCCCAACTGCAGGGGAAAAGATCATTTTGTTTAGCAAATACAGAGGATGTCATCCTCATAGCTATGGGGAGTGCCTTCTGTGGTGAGAATTCCACATCTTTTGTCGCTATAATGCTAGAGTGGCTCTTTGCAGCAGGGCAACTAGGAGCAACCAGCATTTACCTACACATACAGGCTCGCCTCCACTCCATCTCCCATCTTCCATGCAGATTCGGCTGCGGTCACCTTCCAGGTGGTAGCCACTGGAACAGCTGTAGTCACAGCGAGAGTCAAGAAGCACCCCATTTGTGCAGGTGTAAGTGCCACTCGTGATGAATGGCAGTGCGTGGCATCTCATCTCTAAGAGAAAACCAAGTGTCAAGCTCAGTGACTTGTGCACCTATCTGGAGCGGATGCCTGGGCATCTAGCACAGGGAGAACCATATCAGAGATAGCAGAAAATACAGAAACTCTACCTGAACTGCCCTTACATTTTTGTGCCTAACTGCCTTTTCCCCTAATTGTCTTTGTATTTTCATAAAGTAAGCAGCACCCTTGGGCAGGGGGGTGTCAAAAAAATAAATTACTCGTCCAAGCATATGGACTTCAAAATCAGACCTAACATTGTACATTGTCAAAATCCGTAGAATATACAACAAGAGTGGGCCCTAATGTAAACTATGGAACTCAGGTGATGATGATGTATTAATGGATGTTCATCAACTGTAAAAAATGAACCACTGTGGTGGGGGATATTGACAATGGGGGAGGCTGTACATGTGTAGGTGCAGGGGATAAATGGGAAATATCTATATCTTTCATTCAGTTTTGCTGTGAACTTAAAACTTCTCTAAACAAATAGGATCTATTTTAAAAGGGGAAGTAAAGCAACGTTATCAAGAGGAAAAAAAAAAAACAGATCTGAATTTTCATCCCAGTTCTACCTCTTACTAGCTCTGTAACTTTAAGAAGTTACCGCATCTCTTTGAATTTCAGTGTTTTCTTCAGTAAAATGTGGATACCTCATAGGATCACTGTATAAATTAAAAGAGACAATGCATATAACCTCTGGGCTCATTTAGGGCCTTGGTAACTGTTAGTTTTTGTCTCTTATTCCTCAAATGCTAGATGCCCTTGAGCACATTCAAAACTTCTTTTCTTCTCCAGGCATACTCATATCATTTTGGGGCTCTCATAGCCACTGCTCAGCTAAGGCTCAACTTACATGCCAGCTTGGGCTGGCTCTCTGGGCTAGAATACAAGTCAGACCAGTGCCTGGAGGGCCAGGTGTGGTGGTATTTGGTAAAAAGAGGAATCCATGTGCGTTGGACACCACATGTAGCAGAGGTAGAGCCTGTCACCTTGGATTAATTGTGAGCCTATGCTTGCCAAAGTCTGTGGGAGATACCTGATATTTAAGAGAAAGAGGCCATATATTCCTTTAGGTTATCTAAATTCAGATCCTGCCCAAGTTCAGTTGTTGAAGCTTTGAATAAAGATCTGTATAAGATATGTTCATTCTGTTTCTTGGCCAATCCAGACGTAAAGATTATTGCATTTTCTGTTTTCCAGTGTCCCTTTGTAAAGACCTATGCAAAAATGACCTTCTTGAAATCAGGGTGAAGAGAAAAGATTTGGCTCTTCAGATGAATTTGTTTGCTTAGTATCATATGACAGGAAAAATGATAGATCCAAAGCATGTACCCTTTTGTCTCTTACAAGGAAAATCAAAACTAGATTCAGTGCTCAAATGTAGTAATTGACTCATTGTAGGCACCTGGAAATATGTATGTCACCATTCTTTTAATCGGTTTTATGTTCACTTGTACTTTACAGCCCTATATTTTCTAATTGTGTCAGACCGATTCAAATTCCTGTTGAAAATGATGAGATCTAAGTCCTGAAACAAATTTAATTCCAGTCACCTAAAGAGGTGTGGTGACTGCCTGCTTTCTGGCTATCAAGCTTCTCCCCTCCTCCACAGTGTCTTCTCTGACCAGCCCCATTTCTCTGCGAATGCTCAGCACTTCTGTATCCAGTTATACGACATTCATGTGCACACATTTGTGTTTCTATCCCATTCATGTATAAGCAGCCTGGAGGTACTTGAGGAATTGAGTAATACAGGAAGTGACCGATACAGGGCTGTGTATACATGGATGTCCTACAAATGATGTTCTGCCATGGACATATGGACAGAAAAAGCTCAGCTGCTAAAAGGCTGTGGAGCTTGAGTAAGAGGTAGAGACTTGGAAGCTGAAGGGGGAAAGTGGCTTGGAATGTGTGTATATTAGCATTTTCACATTCTAGACATAGGGATTTTTCTTCTGACTTTCAGAAGAAAATGAAGAATAGGACGTCTCATAGCTTCCCTGCCGCGTTCTTCTAAGGTTGTAGGCCAGGAAGTACGGCAGTTGACCACAAGTGGCAAAGAGGCTAAGATCACACATTCTTAGGTGCTTCAGAAGAAGATCTAGGTCCACATCAGACCTCATGCTCAAGCCTTAGCTCTGTCTGTGCACTCCTGGGCTCCCTGAGTCAGAAGAGCTGGTTGCTACTTAAATGCTTATATTGCTTGGGCAGTAACCACAAGGAGAGAAAATGAACTAGAATGTTAGGATGAGGAAAAGCCCTGCTGGGTGGCTTGTGGAATATCCTCAATTTGTACTTGAGGGAAGGGCTTATTAGTAACACCTCCAGTCATATATCCTCAGTGGCTGGCTGGCTGGCTTCTCTCGCATACATGCATCAGCATATACACACATACAACTTACGCCTGCAGTAGGCAGTTCCAGACCAACGACGGCTTGGCAGGCATTGCACAGACCTCCTTCCAATCAGTCGAAAGCCCCGGTCACAGGAGAGCTCACAACGCGTGCCCAGGCTGCTGTGATAATTTCCTCCCCTCGGTGAGTAGCAAGTGGCTTCTCCATCCTGGATATTTAATGTGTAACACCATCGGGGGACTGTAGCAATAGAAGAAAAGCAAGCTAGAAGAACCATAGTCAACACAGTGTGGTGTTGGGGAAAAGACAAATAGGTCAAGGGACAAAAATAGCCCAGAAGTAAACGCACACGTGTGTTAAAATGATTTTTGACAAAAGTGCAAAGACAATTCAATGGATGATAGCCTTCAAACAAATGGTGCCGGAGCACTTGTACTTCCACATGCAAAAAACAAAAACAAAAACAAAAACAAAAAACACAGCTCCACTTAAGTCTCACACCATATACAAAATTAACTCAAGAGAGATCACTGACTTGAAAGAAACAGGAGAAAGTCACTGGTATTTAGGGCTAAGCAAAGTGGTCTTAGGTATAACACCAACAGCGTAATTCATCAAAGAAAAATTATTAAATTAGACCTTGTCAAAATTAAAAATTTTTGCTCTGCATAAAGACAAAGCCATAAACTGGGACTAGTATCTAAAATATAAAAAGAACTCTCAAAACATTGAGAAGGCAAACAATTTAGTTAGAACATGGACAAAAGATAAAAACACACATGTCACTGAAGAGGATATACCAATGGCAAATAAGCATGTGAAAAGTTTTTAGCATCATTAATCATTTGGGAAATTCAAATTAAAATCATAATGAGATATTATTTATATATCTGTCCATCAGAATATCTAACCTTTAAAAAAATACTGGCAATACCAAGTGCTTGTGAAGATGGAGAAAAACTGGAATTCTCATACATGGCTGGTGGAAGTACAAAAATACAGCCACTTTGGAAAATATTTTGGCTATTTCTTATAAAGGTAACACCATACCTTCTTATAAAGAAAGGTACACTTACCATATGACTGTGCAATCTCACTTAAAGGTATTTATGCCAGTGAAATAAAAACCTGTGTCCACACAAAATCCTGTACATGAAAGTTTAAAGTAGCTCTATTCATAATTGCCAAAAACTGGAAACAACTCAAATGTCTTTCTGTGGGTGAATGGCTAAGCTAACTGTGGTGTATTCATACGAAAGAATCAAGTGCTGATACATGCAACAGCATCAGTCAATCTCAGATGTATGCTGGGAAGTGAAAGAAGTCAGACTCAAAAAAACTACATACTTTAGAATTCCATTTATATAACAAAAATAATAGGGACATCAGCAAAAATACAGTGACAGAGTACAGATAAGTGGTTGCCAGAGATTAGGCATAGAGGTAAGGGATAACATCAAAGGGGAAGCACTGGGCAAGTTTTTGAGGTGATGGAACTGTCTCATGCTGTGGTGGGAGTTCTGCAACCGTATGCATTTGTCAAAACTCACAGAACTATACACCAAAAAGAGTGAGTTTTTCTGCATGTACGTTTAAAATAAAAATTTAAAGGATAATACAAAAATGTAAACTAGAGAGAGGAAGGGATGTGACATCAAAGAAGGCTGCTTAGGAATAAAAGCCCAATCCCAAAAGTACTGAGCACAAAAGGTTAGAGGGCTGTTAAATCATAAAGGCATCATAAAGATGCCTCACAGTCTGTACGAAATAAATGACTCTTTAGTGGGTTCAGAGTTTAAAGGGACGTGTGTAACTAAGCAGAGGGCTACCTGCCCAAGGATGCACACACATGGCATGGCACAGGTCTGTTAGCCTAGGGTTGGGAAGGCTAAAGCCCCATGTGAACTGATTCAGTTCCTACATCCTAAGGGACCAAAACAAAAACAAAAAAAAAAAAAAAGAAAGCTTTGGAAAAAAAAAAAGGTAAATGGGGCACCAAAGGAACAAAGAAAGGCTAGAGCCTCTGTCTGAGTGCAACTGGAGAACGAAGACAGATGACAGTGAGAAATCTTTTCTTCAGTAAACACCATGCTGGGGGCTTCCAGTGTTAGTTTTGAGCCTCTGGCAGTGACACATGGCTGCCATCTGGAGACACCATCTCCAAATTACAGAAAGTCTTTTAAGCAGTCCAGTTGCAGAGCTGTTGATTATAAGGCCACAACACATATCACAAAGACCTTATTTGGGAGACTGGGACCTGAACAATCACTCCCATTCTATCTCTCTCCCATAGTCTGTCAAAGAAAATACACATCAGATTAGAATGGGTAGAATAAGTAAGAATGGCAAAGGGAAATATAAAGGTCAGGATAAATGCTAAGACAGTAGGAGAGGCCCCAACGATTGTAAATAAGTTCAAATTTTCTGCCTCAGAAGAATCCTGGCATAAAGACAAAAACACTGAAAGGCTAGGGAAGAGCAAACGCAATCTCAGTTTTCAAATAAGGAAGAAGGTAGCCTCTGGGAGCTATAGCCTGGTGACACAGACAGCACTGATAGCATAGTGTGCTAGAACATTTCGACATAAGGCTACGGTAGTTACACAGAGAAGTAGTGATCTCCAGGACTCCTCTGGAACAAGTAATTCCAGATTGACCTAATTTCCTGTTTGGGTAGGGTCACCAGACTGGTAGGGCAGGGAAAATGGTGGATGCGCTATGTGGAAGTAAGTGAGGCATGTGACAATGCTTTTCATGCCATCGACGTGGATGAGATGACATACAGGAGAGGTGACATACAGGAGAGGTGACAATACGGTTACAGATTCATAATTGGCTGAGCAGCTGTACCCAAATAATGCCCATGGGAAACTGAAACAAGGGTGTGGTTAAAAGGAATCAAGAAGGCAATCCCATTTACAATAGCTACAAAGAAATCTAGAAATAAACTTAACCAAAGAAGTGAAAACCTATACTCTGAAAACCATAAAACATTGATGGAAGGAATTAAAAAGGACACAAAAAATAGACATCCCGTGTTCATGAATTAGAAGGATTAATATTGTTAAAATGACCATATTGCTCAAAGCAATCTACAGATTCAATGCAATTTCTATCAAAATACCAACATCATTTTTCATGGAAATAGAAAAAACAATTATAAAATTCATATGGAACTTAAAAAGATTTTGTCAGAATAGCCAAAGCAATCCTGAGCAAAAAAAGAACAAAGCTAGAGGCATCACATTACCTGACTTCAAAATATATTATAAAGCTATAGTAATAAAAACAACAGGGTACTGGTATAAAAATAGATATATAAATCAATGGAACAGAATAGCAAACCCAGAAATAAATTCATATATTTATAGCCAACTGATCTTTGACAAGGACATCAAGAACATACATTAGGGAAAGGACATTCTCTTCAGTAAATGGTGCTGAGAAAACTAGATAATCATATACAGAATAATGAAATTGGACCCCCATCTCTCCTCGTATCCAAAAATTTACTCAGGATGTATTAAAAACTTAAATGTAAGACCGAGAAGTATAAAATTACTAGAAGAAAACATAGGGAAAGCTCCTCATGATATTGATTTAAGCAACGATTTTATGGTTAAGACCTCAAAAGCACAGGAAACAGAAACAAAAATAGATCAAGAGGGCTATATTAAACTAAAAAGCTCCGGCACAGCAAAACAACAACAACAAACAAGCAACCGAGTGAAAAGACAACCTTTGAATGGGAGAAAATATCTGCAAACTACTTATCCATCAGGGGACTAATAATGTCCTGTATATACAAGGAACTCAACAGTAGAAAAACAAACAATTCACTAAAAAATCAGGTGAAGGACATGAATAGACATTTCTCAAAAGAGGACACACAAATGACCAAGAGATGTATGAAAAAATGCTCCACATCACTAATCATCAGGGAAATGCAAATCAAAACCACACAAAGAGATATCATCTCACCGCTGTTAAAATGGCTATTATTAAAAAGACAGGCCAGGTGCAGTGGCTCATGCCTGTAATCCCAGCACTTTGGGAGGCCAAGGCAGGCGGATCACTTGAGGTCAGGAGTTCGAGACAAGTCTGGCCAACTTCGTGAAATCGCATCTCTACTAAAAATACAAAACTTAGCTAGGCATGGCAGTGGCACATGTAAACCCATCTCCTCTGGTGGCTGAGGCACAAGAATCGCTTGAACCCAGGAGGTGGAGGTTGCAGTGAGCTGAGATCATGCCACTGCACTCCATTCTGGAGGACCGAGTGAGACTGTGTCTCAAAAAAAAAAAAAAAAAAAAGAGAGAGAGAGAGAAAGAAAAATAACAGATGCTGGTGAGGATGCAGAGAAAAGGGAAGCATACATTGTTGATGGGAATGTAAATTAATATCACTATGGAAAACAGTATGGAGATTTCATAGAAAATGAAAACTAGCTGAGCAGGGCAGCTCACGCCTGTAATCCTAGCACTTTGGGAGGCTGGGGCGGGTGGATCACCTGAGGTCAGGAGTTTGAGATCAGCCTGGCCAACATGGTGAAACCCCATCTCTACTAAAAATACAAAAATTAGCCAGGCATGGTGGCGGGCACCTGTAATCCCAGCTACTTGGGAGGCTGAGGCAGGAGAATCACTTCAACCTGGGAGGCAGAGGTTGCAGTGAGCCGAGATTGTGCCACTGAACTCCAGCCTGGGCAACAAGAGCAAGACTGCATTTCAAAAAAAGAAAGAAAGAAAGAAAGAAAGAAAACTAGCACTACCATATGATTCAGCAGTCCCACAACTGGGTATCTATTTAAAGAAAAAGAAATCAATATATCAAAGGGATCTGCATTCACGTGTTTATCACAGTACTATTCACGATAGCAAAAGATATGGAATCAACCTAAGTATCCATTGGTGGACTAATGGATAAAGAAAATATGGGACATATACATAATAGAATAGTATTTGGCCATAATGAAGAATGAAATCCTGTCATTTGCAGCAACATGGATGACACTGGAGGACATTATAATAAGTGAAATAAGCCAGGCACAGAAAGATAAATACTACATGTCCTCACTTATTTGTGGGTGCTAAAAAAGTTAATCTCATAGACATACAAAATAGAATGATAGATAGTAAAGACTGGAGGGGTAAGTGGGTGGCAGTGGGGATGAAGAGAGGTTGGTTATGGATACAAATCTACAGTTAGAAGAAGTAAATTATAAAGTTTGATAGCAGAATA